AACTCATACTGAAACAGTTGGTGTCCAAATTACAAGAGATAACAAAACAATAACAACCAAATCAGGAAAATTTGGCAATAACAAAAAACAAAGTATAGTATTTACAAATATCCACATGTAAATGACACTAACATAACTAACATTGACATATTATTTACATCAATTTCACCATAGACTTAGAATATACTGGCGAATAAACGGACATAGTATGCAAGGAAGAATAAAATTTATTACGGCTAAAATGCAACAAAGAAAAGGATACCAAATCTAATGACTCGCGTAACCAATTTTGAATGACAGGTCGGCACAAGATACACGCAAGTAATAAGCTTGTAGATATTTTGTAATTTTTTAGATTATTATAGTGTTATGTTTTGTTATTCATAGTTTTCCAAAATGGTTCCATGTTCCATGAGTGACTGTGGTGAGAATAATAGAAATAATCAATCAAGGTAGAATTTTTCACAGGTGAATTTGCAAGACGTCGTTACTATTGTGACGATGTTACGATTATGACTCGTCTATTTTTAGTTAAAATTTATGTTATATACTGTTTAAAGTATATAGCATTTTCAATTATTTTATAAATTTTGATATTTTGCAAAGAAAAATGGAAAGTTGTTGGTAATTTATATGATATTGGTAAATTCATTTTTAAGCAATATATTTTCCATATACGCTAGATATTGACTCAACTATATCAAAATTAATGTCGATATTTATATTGAATATTGAGGTTGATAAATTAGTATTAAGAATCGATAGACTTGCCCACACAAACAAAATAGGAATGAAATTAAATGCGCGATTTGCGCTCTAAAAACGTAATTTTATTTTGCCGTTTGTCAAACACCCTCTGGATTCCTTTAGAAAATGTTGGCCATTAATTGAGAGGGTTGGCTGGAATCTAAAGAAGAACTCTACAAATTGCAGCAAAATTTTCTTGAAAAATATAAAATAAAAATCAAAGAAAAAATATCTATTTTATTAAAAGTAGCCATTCCAAGATTATTTGTACCAGTAAGTAAAGTATTGTTACAGTAAGAGTTCTAAATTTTTAACTTCAAAAACTTTATGTAAAAATAGAGATAGATTTTTATACATTTTAAAACTGTAGTATGTTAAAAATAAAAATCTTGAGATTATCCTATTGAAGCCATTATGAACTCAACTATCAACTATCTATTTATCAACCAAAATGTAAAACCTTACATCATCTACTGCACCTCACGCTCATATTAGCACAATATTCATAGCATCACGCTATTTTTCCTAAGGATCTTCGGTTTATATTCACAAATCACAATGATAGTTTTATAAGCTTAGTTAGGTATAGATATTTATTTATGCTCCTGAAACGCAACTAGACGCCCGCGAATGAGACGCGCGGTTCAGTGTGCCAGGATAGTATAAATTCCATTACAGTATTTGATACTCACACCGCTCGATGCCTGATTCAGGCTTGATAAATGACGACTGCGTACCGAGGGCGTATTTGGCTAGTCTCTGTTAACTTTTAACGTTTCCTTAACATTAATTTTTCAATAGTCTTTGTAAGTAAAATGTACAACACTAGCTAACGCACACAATGACCAATCAAAATTCGTCATGCGCACAAATGCCTTTTTGAGCTGTCAGGTCGTTTATTCGCCAGTATCATGAAGGTTAGAGAACAGCAGAACGATCACTACGTACTAAAGCATAGTCCGCCTGTCCTTGAAAATTTTAGAATTTATAGCGGCGCTGACGTCGGTGAGTAGTGACTGCGAAGTTAGCTGTTTATGAGTACAAGTAGATGAAGTTAGTTGAACAATGACAAATTTTTTCCGCGGCATTGCCGAGAAAATTTTCATGCTCCGTAACTTTGTAATTTTTTACAAAAAGAAACATTAAAAGATGGAGAAATAATTTAATGTGCGTGGATGTGCTAGTGGTTTAGCATCTGATCGGAAAAATTAACTGAAAATGACTTTTATTGAGCGAACTTAGCGATCGCAGCGCCTCACTTATGGTGTCCATATTTCTGGGACACTATTTTCTACGGCGATAGTTCTCCTGTTCTCTAACCTTCATGGCCAGTATATTCTAAGTCTATGGCAACAATCATAGATTATGCAACGGAGATATTATATACTCTTTGGCAACACACCATAGTGCTCCTTGTTGTTCTGTGACAGTGTTCTGTGATTGCAACAGCTTTGTTATATATGGCAATTCACGAAATCTTTTCAAAAACTACAGCATGCTGCAGGCCTCTCATTGCCGTATCACAAAATACGGTAATTGGCCATAAGGTGAAATGAAACGGTTTTTCTCTATAGTCCGGACGCGAAGAAGGAAGAATTTCGTACGTTCACCTGTGCACAGATGCAATGACCGCCGTCCTCAGGGATTGTAAACCTTTTACATGGGACTGTAAGTTTTGTTCTTCTTTGCATGTGGTTTTTGTTATTCTTAAGGCACGACCGAAAATCCTTGGCTTGCTTGACATAGTTAAAAAATTAAATAACGAACAAACGACATTCCATCTTGGAATGCATTATCGATCGCTCAGTTTTCGGACACAGTTATCTATTTCTAGTTTGTGTTGTTTGTTTAATGTAGACAAAACTGTCGATTCTTTTGTAATAAATGTGACAGGCGGGACGACATCGGAAAGCAGTAACTCCGATATAGAGAAATCAGATTCTGATTTTCAAATTTTCTTTTTTCTATTTCTGCCAAATTAGCAATTTTAACTAGATTTTATAGTTGTTTTATACTAAAATAAAAAATAATACGAATAATTTATTTAATAGGATAGTAAATATATTTTTTATCCTTCAAATATTTCATATAAACCACACTTAACACAAAAATGTTAGTGACCACTGTCAGTAGGCAAAAAGATCATTGTACGAAATTCTTTCTGCTCCGCGACTGGACTATGGTGTAATGAACGATATGTGTCACATTAGTATAGAAACGTAACAGAGATGAAGCTTAACACAACTGCGCTAGGTATGATCTTTGTCGAATGTAATTGGTAATTGATTATTGTAATTTATTATTTTTAATATGGTAGATAGATAACTAATACATATCAAACACCTCAAAAAAATGTCTACTTTGTGAAAAATGTCGTGAATATTTTGATTTTGAACTAAATATTGTTAGTATTGATTGAGATATATTAAAATGTATGCAAGATTGTATATGTCATGTGAGACCTAAATTTATGATTCATTTACCATTTAACTAAAAGGTTATGTACCGTAAAGGACATGTCTAGCAACTTTATCAATGAAAGTTAACTTTGCCATCAGGGATGGACTGGTCCAAAATTACGATTATCATGAACAACGTAATGTTTTTGTAGATATGCCCTTTTTTGGATAAAAATTTAATAACTCTTTAACAGCATTATCATTGATATGGCTACACAAGAGTTAATTTTGGCATTTTATTTTAACGCGGAATTCTGCCGGCTACGTAACCTCTGTTCTGGAGTACAGACTTTTGTTGATTTTTTTAAATACTAAATGTGGGTATCTACATCATGTCGGTCTTTAAGCCACTTATATAAAATATAAAATAAAATAAAAATGATATGTGGAAAGAAGTTTCACTCTATACACGTGTAAACAATAGCACGCCCATTTTTTTTAGTTTACATCTTGTCACAGTAATTTCATAGGCAAAAATTTAAAATATATCGAACAAAAAACTCTCGACTAAAATTAAAAATCCAATTGGTGTAGTAATAAGCTTAAAATAAGTATAGTATAGATCAATAACAAAGCTCATCACAATAATTTTTAACAAGTATAGTTTTTTTTATTAGTCATTATTATCATTTTATTATGATTAGGTAAAAGATAAATATCGTAATAGAAAAACATTAATAATCATTAAAAATTATTATACTTTTTTTTTCAACTTAATGTTTGATATTAATTTGCACCCAAATTAATATCAAACATTAAGTTGAAAATATGAAAAGTACTGAGTAGTAATAATATTATTAACACGCAAATATTTTACAGGAAAACGTGCTTTTTTAATACCGTACCTAAACTTCTTCCGTCGTCCGTTACGTCGATGAAGTTTTACTTCAAAAATTAGAAGTACGTAATGAAGGTTTTGACAACCCTGTATTATTTTCAAGTTTGTATGAAAAATTGAGTAATGGGTAATTTAACTTACTACAATTTTGCCTCTAGAGTAAACTTTGTTACTTGAAACATAATTAGAAGAGCAAATCATAACTCTGAATGATGTGTGTTATGTTATGTGTTACATTCATGAAGTTAAACTTTATTTAAGAAGAATAAAGTACCACATTTAACATTGAGGCCCACTCTGAGAGTACCTTTTATGTTGGAAAATTCCTACACTTTTAAGTCCTTCCAAACATGGCAAAGTTGCCAGGTTTCATGGCTATAAATTAATGAAAAAACAATAAATATGGAAATAAAATATTTAAAGTAAGTAGTTTGTAAAAAATGAGAAGCAGGGACAAATACTCACTAGTTAAACATGAATTCGAAGTGGCAGAAACGATAAAAAACCTTCACGGAGAAGAAACAAATGAAGAATAGACATTTTTTTAAAATAAAGAGTTAAAAATACTCATTTTCGTAATATACGGCAACTCAGAACCTTACGATGGCGACACTGCCCGCTGTCACAGCAGCAGCACAGAGTACTTTTACTTTTCAATATATAAACACCTGAACCTGAATAGGCTGAATAGTTTCAATTATAGTGGATATATTATAGCGGCATGCTTATGTTCATGAAGTGATTTTGTACTGTAAAGTTTATGCAAAATGTTTAATACCAGAATAATCTATTTAGGACATGAAAACATTTGTAATACCTCTTTTATTAGCTGTAAAATTGTGCAAAAGTTTTGTATATAATCGCGGTTTTGACGTGAACTTATCGTGCAATGGTTTCGTTAATTTTCTTAATTGAAACACGCAGATTTTGAAATTTTGGTATACAGGAGAATAATAATGGCAGGATCAACTCTACCTGAAAGAGTAGCGCAAATATATTATACTTATGGTCTCTTTTGTTCATCTTATCCAGTTACTGCGATAACCATCGCTCTGTCTGTTGTATTATTGTGTTGGTAAGTAGCGGTGGTTACACTATAATAAAGAGTAATTGAACTTTGAAATTGAGAATATACAATTTCTTTACAGCTATCCCTTATTGAATGTACCTCTGCCGGGTAACATCCCAACTGTAGTAAATTTGCCTCTACATCATAATGGACATAATCCAACTGACTGTAGTAACAAAAATTGCTTAAACACAGGTATGTAAGCTTTATTAAAGCAGCAGTTATTAATTTCTTTAACAAGCCTTTTATTTAGTAAGTTTTTCGATAAATCTCTTATTTGTTTGAGAATTTTTGTATTAATTGCTTCTCGTGGTGTTGGTGTGGAATTTAAACCGTTTTGTAACATTTAAATATTAAAATAGCTGTGCATTATATAATTATTATAATTTCAGAACTGCAAATGGAAATAATACATAATGAAACACAAAAACTTCCCTATATTTGGGCAAAGGATAAGCCACTGTTCTATGTGCACCAGATTATTATGAAAATAGGTATGACAGCATATGTTTTTTTTTGTATTAAAACAATGTTACTATTAGCTTTAACATTTTTATTTTACAAGATTATTTAAAGTAACCTCTTAAAACACAAAATAAAAAATGCAATTTTTTTAAATTTTTTGTATTTACAATATTTTTTAAATTTTTAATTCTTTTGTAAAAACATTGCTTATATTTAACATTTTAGGTGTTTCACCATGGAACACTAATTTGAGAATGTGGGATGCATTCAGAGGACCACTACAAGAAGTTTTTCGATTATTAGAAACAATTCGTAACCATGAGGACTTAGAAACGTAAGAATGAATATTATTGTTTTGTTTTATATTTATTTATAGTATTTACAGATAATTGAGGAATCATCTGATTAAACTTACCTATAATTGTGTCAAACAGTATAATAAACTATACCATTTCATTTGAATTATATTTACCTTCGATGGATGTATCTATCGCCAAAATGGTGTCAATTGTTATATCAATATAAATGGACATTGTTTGCAAATTGATATTTACTACATTTTTATTCTTAAAACATTTTAAAGAAAATATTAAGTAGCTTGAGCAGCTATTTCTAAAGTCTTATGAATTGAAGCATTGCGAATTATTGTTGCATATTAAATAAAGTATTGATTTTAATTAAACTTTTCAAAACATCGATATGATTGAAAGTATTTAAGATTTCGTATAGATATAGATTAGCTTTTCAATTGTGAGCATTTGTTATTTTGCTATGCGTCATTGTAAAAAATATTATTTCGGTTTTAAAGCAATTTGTTTATAATACACACACATACTTTAAATTGCTTTCTAAGCATATTGGGCAAATGGAAGAGTGTTAGATTTCACATAGTTAACATTTATATATTAAATATGTGTAACATGAAATATTTGTTGCACAAAACAATTACTTACATTTGGGGGCAACTATTATATTCCATTTTCAATAGTCTGTTGTGTGTATGTCAGGGCATTTACAATTGTGGCGTACAAAAGCGATATCTGCTAGTTAAAGATTTGGTAAAATCAACATTCTCTACTGGTGTGAGCTTGCTTTGTAAAGTATAAAAATTGTTATGTTTTTAGGATTGAATTCTGATAAATAGAACACCTTGCATACTATAAGTAAACTTGTCTATGGAGCCTTTATGCAAATGCTGCTTTCTTTAATAATGTACTATATTTTTCCTTAGTCCATTTAAATTCTTAATATTTTTTAATATTGTCACAGTTTAAAACAGAAATGATTGTTTTAAGAATGGTTGAAATTATGTTGAGCATTGTATTTAATTTTATTTATTTTTAATGTGTCTGTAATCTGTGACCGGTGATGTGTGTATCTTAATTCACATTCTGCCCCATATACTTCTACAAGCTAGTAATTACATTGGATAGATACATTAGTCTATCATAAATAATTGCGAACAATAACTATTTTGCAGAAAGAATACACTGTTACATCACTGCTATCAGATAGAAGGCATTAAACGACATGAGAGCAAATCAAGCATGGAGCAAGTGCTTCCAGAATACAGCTGCCTAATGCTTTCTCCTGCTAATTTGTGGCAGCAAAACTTACAATCCTTCTCCTTGGATGCTAATATAGTGAATACCATCTATAATTACCAGGTGCACACCATAATACTTTATTCTGAGCTTAATAATATTATTTCTTCAGAGATCATAAAATTGAAGGATAGCCAACTATTAGTGACTATGGTACATTTTTAGCTTTGGTAGATAATGGTATCATATAACTATTTTTAAATATCTATCTTATGTGGTAGAGCCATGCCTTAGCTATTCTAGTACCATAGTTGTAGCTCAAATGGGTCGACACAACCGGGGAAGGACCATGCTTGCAGAGAATACCAGCTCAATGCTGCTATGATTCATACAGTGAGTGTAGGGAACTGGAGACCCTTTTTCCTGGAAATATGGGTTTTCTTTTTAGTCCTCAAGGGTGGCAATGCATCTGAATTTTGATTCTTAATCGAGGATAAAGCTAGATGTCTATGGGCAACAGCAACCACTTACCATCAGGTGGAGTGTATGCTCGTATGTCACCCTTATCCTATTAAAAAAACTCATCCTATATTAGTGTCACATGTAAAAAATCAGTACTAGTCATTGAAAGTTGATAAAAAGGTAGGAGAAGTCTGTCACTTTAATTGTACATATGCCTTACAAGCGTGGCAACTATGACAAATTCTCCATGTTACGCAACAAGCTCATATACGGCAGATGATTGTCAACAAACTGAAAAAAAATGTAATAAATGATTAAACTGACTTAGAATATCTTGGAATAATCATTTCCAATGATATGTTATGTTAATATTATAAAGTTGTGTTGGGTAACGTGGAGGTGAAGGATCCGGATTTAAGCCATGGAATTCTTCTTCATACACTTAAAGCAGTGAATACATTATGTTACTCGATATAATATGTACGCATACCGTTTTCTCCAATTATTAAGAAAATATACATTTTAGATGAAGATAAAAGCTGTTAGGTTACAAAAGGCAAGGATCTCTGAAGAATTCAAAATGAGATTTTAACCATTTGGTTTGTTATATGAAAAGTGAAAATTCAAGCAAATTACACAAACACAAATTAAAAATGTCCTGTCCTAAAATACAATTTTATGAAAGAAAATTTTATTATTATTATTATTTGTAACCGTGGTTGGCTTGTGAGCCAAGTGGACATCTGTTTGTTTATTATAAATATTTATTACTATATCATCTGCTAACACTCTAAAAATTTTCTGACAATTTGGCATGTGATTAGAATTTCCTTCTGTAAAAAATTCACTCAGGTAGATCAAGTGATTTGAGTGACTGGTAGGGGTGTATGGGATACATCTGTACTGACAGAATGGGGTATTATTATTTTTACAGTTGAGAGATTCCATATACTTTTGTTTCATTCTTGAGGTCTATATAATTTGAAGTTTTCTGATTTTGCTAACTGCAGGTCAGGTTATTTGGCAAATTCAACTTTGCTGGACAGTATTCGAGAATTTACGACACAATATTCCGCATAACCTAAAAACTGATGTGTGCAGTGTGTGTAGCTTATTGTCAGTGATGACTGATGACTCATGGAATCTAGATATGGTTCTTTACTTTTGGTTGTATAAGGAAGCTCATTCAACATAAGTTGAAAGTTACAGATGCTCACAGATGTATTACTTTTCCTTTCATTTGTTCTCTTACTTACACCACATACTTCAGTGGCGGCATCCACCAAACCTTTTTTAATATTGTCCCACACAGTATTCAAGTCTAAATCATTCATACACAACTCATTCAAACATCTAATATTTCCTCTCAGTCTACATTTATACTTCTCTTTCACATCTTCATCTTGTAACTTCTCTATTCTTATACGCTGTAACGCAGTGGTAGACACAGATGTCAACACAGCAGCATTTAGCTACTATTTTACGCTGGTATTCTGCTGTGAGAGCGTGGTCGTTCCCCGGTCGAGCCGACCCATTCGTGCTACAACTATACTTCTAATATGACTGCAGCATGGCTCTACCATGTAACGATATATTAATGTTACGTATGAAAGATCTTACTACTTTATTATGTAATACTGATATAATTGCGTGAAAACTGGTCTTGAAGCAAAAAAAGGTAAAAATTAAAGATTATGCAAAACTTTTGGGATGCATCTTCGTGATACTCAATTCCACTTGGATCCACAAACACAATTCATAGGTGGATCTATGGTTATTTTTTCTACTTTCCATTTATCCTTGGGTCATGTATATTTTTTTCTCCTCTTCAATCCACCTATGGATTCATGTATAAATATTATTTTCCTCTAGCGCTATGCACCAAGTTGTTGACGAGTATGTTCACCTAAGACAAATTGTCCAACTTCGACTGAGAGTTCAATTGACGGATATATCTCGACTTTACAGACTATTAGCACTAAATATAGAATACAAGAATACAACACATCTCATCACAGACTTGAAAACAACAGTGTTCAACCAGTATGTGTTGTCACTGATGATATAATGATCTGGGATGTAGTCCTTCACTGCTGGCTTCAAGGTCTCTCAATGAGCTATGAGGAGGACTATCCTTTGAGTTAATCTGCGCGATAGGCTTCGTAATGAGGAAATACGCAGAAGAACGAGAGTAATCATCATTCAGCCCAACACGACAAAAAAGTACGCTTAAATGACAATGTGCCGCCAGCCATATAGTAAGAAAAACCTGCACCTGATGGGGAAGAAAGGTTCTCGAATGACAGTCTCGTTTGTAAATGTAGTGTTGGAAAGAAATCTTCAAGCAAATTCTCGTCCCCATAATCGCTTCGTCCACTTGGACCTACAATCATTATGTGTAGGGTTTTTAAAAATAAAAATATCTTTCTATGCCACATTGATCCACCAATGTGGTGATCAAAAAATATTAATTATTTTTGATCCAATTTCGACCCATGCTCTTTGTTCAGTTTGCAAAATTAACGTGAACAGGAGTTATCATCATCATTACAGTCCACTACTGAACAAAGTCCACCTCCGAGGACCGCCACAAAGCATGGACTTCATGCATCTCATATCAAGTCAACACTCCATCCACTTTTCCCATAATCAAGATATGTTGCAAATCGCAAGTATGTATTAATAATTACTTACATTACGCAGAGTCTTCAGAAGGGTAAAGCATCAATTGCTGAGATGGCTTTTGGGATGCATCTTCGTGATACTGGGATTAAGCGGTATCCACTCAGAGCGCGCCCGCGAGTCTTGCAGTACGCGGTTACAATTTTTTATCAAGAAGCCAACGAGCGGTAAAACACTTTTACTATTTAATGTTTGGCATGACATTGTGCTCTGGGTACCAGAGTATACTGCATTTGTTACTAAGTGAAAAATATATACTTAAATGATTTTGACTGTTAATAACTTTTCCTGTTCAATATTGGGTAAAAACTAATTTATTAAATTGCTTACCGTTACCGTAAGACGTTTGAATCTTACAATATCTGACAATTTAATTTTCACTTTCGACTTAATAAGTAATGTAATTTAATTGTAATTTTGAAACTTACAATCGATAAATATTTCCAAAAAAATTGGCAAGTGTAAACATAATATAGCTCCAAAGCTTTTAAAGTGTATTTTCTCTTATTTTGTTTAAGTAAATATAGCAAATTTGTTTCAGATTCATTAACACCCTGATTAATAAACTAAGAGAAATATATCCACTACATCAAGATTCTCCGCAAGTTCGCGCCGATGAAGTGATGCTTATTTATTACCCAGGGCAGTTTAACTATCACGAACTTGTGCCCTTGCTGATAACTTTTTTTGGATTATTTCTTTATGTATATTTTTCTGTCAGAAAGATAGAATTTATTAGATCAAAATTTGGACTTGCTGCATGTGCTGTAGTTACTATAGCTGGTAGCTTATCCATGTCGATGGGCATTTGTTTTTACTTTGGATTTTCTCTAAGTTTACAAGGAAAAGAAATATTCCCATATTTAGTGATAATAGTGGGCCTTGAAAATATTCTCGTGCTAACTAAGAGTGTGACTTCCACTGACTCCAGGCTCGACGTCAAAATTCGGCTCGCTCAAGGACTTACCAAAGAAGGCTGGTCTATTACAAAAAATTTATTAACTGAAATTACTATATTAACTGTCAGTTTTTTCACATTTGTTCCATTCATACAAGAGTTCTCAATATTCATGATCGTGAGTTTAATTTCGGATTACTTCATTCAGATGGTATTTTTTGCTACAATTCTTGGCATCGATGTCCGACGCATGGAATATTTCCCAGAAAGGAACAGCAAGTTACATCTAAAAGAATATTTTATTGCTAACAACGCATTAAACTGGCGTTTCAACAAGGGTTACATAGAAGATAACAATATTTCACCGCAAAGGATAACAAAGTCAAAATCTCATCCGAGGTTGAACGGGCTTGCACACAGCAATCCAACCGATATTGTGGCTAAAAGAAACGCCAGCCCTGGTAACATGGACAATAGAGTCCCAAAAAGGATACGCCTCGTAAACATGTGGGCACGGACACGTTTCTTCCAAAGGGCATTCATGGTTTGGATGATAGTTTGGATATCGATGATTGTTTATAACTCCGGGATTGTGGACTATTTTGTCACGGCTGTTGAAAAGAACAATAATGATAGTGAGAGATACGATTACGAAAAAAATAAAGCTAAACCAGCTGCATACATGACATATAATAACATCGACCAGCACCCTATGGTATATTCAACTCTGATAAACATGGATGAAATCGGCAAAATTGTCGATACAAATGACACTATCTTTTTGAAGCACTCTCCTCACGCACGTCCATGGTCTAGGTGAGTATGATTTCATGACTTACTATTTCAGAGCATAACAATATGCTGTAAAGTGATAATTATTGTTCAATACCAGTATATGAGTTGTCTGTGATTTTCTTTTATAGTTTTATGGTCTCAGATTCGTGACACAAAAGGAGGTAAATGTGTTTTTGAATTGTAGTGCAAGAATTATTAAATCATTAAATTATAGATTTATTAAATTTTTAGAATATTATACAGTTTTATCTTCTTTACAATTTGGCTTTAGGTCAGGGAAGTCCACCGAAGATGCAGAAATTCAGTGGACAGAGTTTGTCCACAAAAATGTTTAGGAATTGTCCTCGACCCAGCCAAGGTGTTTGACACAGTCTCGATTTCTATCCTTGTGAGCAAGTTAAAATGTGTTGTATTTGTGGCAATGTATTGATGATAATTAAGGACTTCCTGTGTGACCGCACACAACAGGTTAAAAGTGGGTGAAAATATCTGTCCCGAGGAACCGATTATTTGTGGTGTTCTACAGGGGAAACGGAAACGGAAACAGATACTATTTTATTCAATATAGATTATAAATAATACTTATCGAAGGTTTATAAGTATTAAAAATAAGTCGCTCGCGTCCGTAGGCTTTGACCACCTGTTCCTAGGCCCACCCTACACGTGTCCCCCGGGTGGTGCTAAATGAGCGACAAGCCGATACCACAGACTCGGCTCCACGCCGTGGTAGCGGCGTTAAATATACCACCCCATTTCGCACCATGAGGAATCGAATTAAAGAAATGGCCCCGAGTTCCCGGCGCCCCTTTAATGGGGCAGGGGTGAGAAGAATCTCCGGGAGGAAAACCGGCGACGAGGTTCGCCACCCGTCACGTTCTGTCTCCCGGAGAGGCGAAAAGTGGATTGCAGAGGCCCGTCTGGCTACGTTGAATGTATGTGGGGCAATGAATGATAAAATGGATGATGTATGCGATATGATGTATGATAGAGGAATAGATGTGTTATGCGTAAATGAGACGAAAAGGAAGGGGAAGGATGTCACTACACATGGCATGTATACCGCATACTGGTCTAGTGTAGACGAGATCAAGCGGGCATGCCAGGGAGTAGGTATCATCCTTTCAGAAAGAATGGGCCAATATGTGAAAGAGTATGAATGTGTAAGCCCAAGACTGCTATGGATACGAATGAAAGTGGGCTTAAAGAAGTTGTTTGTGTTAGGGGTCTACGCCCCAGACATGTCTAAGCCCACTTATATCCGAGAGCAGTTTTGGGAAATGGTAAGGATGGTGTTAATGAAGTGTAAGGGAAATGAAAATATTATTATTCTAGGAGATTTTAATGGAAGGGTTGGGGTCAGGAGGCTTGGTTATGAAAGGATATTGGGAACGTTTGTTGATGAAAGTATAAATGAGAATGGTGAAAGTCTGCGCACCGTATGTATGGAAAAGAATCTTTTTGTGACGAACACTTGCTTTCGCCACAAGAGGATTCACATGTATACTTGGGAAAGAGGTGACGATAGAAGCATGATAGATTTCATAATTGTGGATGAAAGATTGAGGGGCGCAGTGGTAGATACGAGAGTTTACCGGGGTTCTAACGTAGGAACGGATCATTATTTAGTTTTATGCCGAATTAATGGTCTATTCAGGCGTTGGCGCCATCGATCGTCTGTGTTTACCACTACGTTACAGCTTTTTAGAACAGAAAGTTTACAAAATGAAAGTGATAAAAACAAGTTCAAATGTAGACTGAAAGAAAATATAAGTGGTTAGACTTGGAGAATATATGGCAAAATGTAAAGAAAGGTTTAGTGGATGCAGCTACCGAAGTATGTGGTGTTAGTAAAAGAAAGAATGAAAGGAAAAATAATACGTTATGGTGGGATGATGAGATACATATGGAAGTTGAAGCAAAGAAGAGAGCATGGCTAGATTTACTAGCAACAAAGGCTGCTAATTCTAGTGGTACGAATGGTGATATTGAAAGAACGAAAGGCAGTCTTTAGACATCTTAATAAGAGAGTAAAAGAAGTAGTTGAAAGAAAAAAGCAAGAAAGAACGGATAAGAATGATAGAAGAATATCGGATAACTTCCAGGCAAATATTAAAATGTTCTGGAAACTTGTAAGAACTGCCAGGGGACATTCAAAACAACCTATGATGAATGCTATAAGAGACGAGAATGGCTATATTCTAAATGATGAAGTTTTGAGTTTAAAGAGATGGAAGGAATATTTTGAAAGCGTGTTTATGAGTGAGGAGACAACGTGTGTACTAAGTGAAGTAGAAACAGTGAAGCGGGTACCGGTAGACTGGTGCAAAGCTGTGATAGTCCCAGTATATAAAGGAAGAGGGTCGCAGCAGGACTGTAAAAACTACCGTGGCAACAGCCTTCTTAGCATTGTGGGAAAACTGTATGCTAAGGTACTGATTGAAAGGGTCATGAAAGAAACTGATGGAAAAATTTGGGATGTGCAAGCAGGATTTAGAAAGGGAATGGGATGTACAGATCAAGTCTTTTCCATGCGCACGATCGCGGAGAAGTTTCTGGCCAAAAACCAAAAGGTTTTTTGTGCGTTCATGGACTTGGGAAAGGCCTATGACAGAGTGGATAGGGATTTGCTATGGCAAACACTGAATTCATTTGGGTTGAGCGCTGGCTTGAAACAGGCATTGGAGTCTCTTTATAGGGACTCTAGTGCTTGTGTTAAGATCAACGGGGTCTACTCGGACTGGTTTGACATCCATAAAGGTGTCAGACAGGGCTGTGTGGCTTCCCCGTGGCTATTTATGAACAGTTGTTTGCAAAATTTGAAAGTTGAAGAATGCGGATTAAGAATGGGTGAGTTAACCGTCAAATGCCTTTTGTACGCCGATGATCAAGTTATTCTTGCGTCGTCGGCGGCCGAGTTGCAAATGATGGTTACGTTAATGAACAGATCATTAAAAGAAAGGGGTATGAAAGTGAACGCAAGTAAGACGAAGGTTATGGTTTTTGAAAGAGAAGAAAGTAAAACGATTTGTGAAATAAGAATAGAAGGGGAGTTGATCGAGCAAGTAGATGAGTTTGTATATTTGGGCTGCGTATTTAGCAGGGATGGGAGATATGATAAGGATATAGAACGACGAGTGAATGCGGGAAATAGAGTAAATGGGGCCTTGCACTCTATTGTGAAGAGTCAAAATGTGTCGAAAAAGGCACGAATGGCAATTCACAATGCTGTGTTGGTCCCTACTTTAACGTATGGTAGTGAAAGTTGGGTGTGGCAGAAGAAGCACGAGAGTAGAATAAACGCAGTAGAAATGCGGTCGTTAAGGAGTATGTTAGGGCTGAATCTGAATGACAGGGTAAGAAATTGTGTAATAAGAGAAGAGTGTGGTTTGCAAGATGATGTTGTGACCAGGATTAAGAAAGGAATGCTTCGGTGGTTTGGTCATGTGGAAAGAATGGATGAGGAAAGAGTGACAAAGAAAATTTGTGGTGCAGAAGTGAATGGCAGAGTCGGAAAGGGACGTCCTAGGCGAAAATTTATCGACCAAATTGGCGATTTATTGAAAACGGGCCAAATTAGGAGTACCCTTAACCGACGAGCATGTATGCGTAGATGTATGGATGTGAAGGAGGCAAGAGAGGTGTGTCAGGATCGTGCCAAATGGAAGTCTGTAGTCTCTGCCTACCCCTCTGGGTGACAGGCGTGAGTGTTTATATATATTATCGAAAGTCACTTTTTTTAATTTACCACTGGTTCGGAAAAAACGTCTGTCCTGGAAAGAACCAACAAGAAACCCAGCGGGACTGTTTTTTTAAAAAATAAGAACACAAAACAAATTAGAAATAGCTTGGTAGCGAACGCCCTTGCCCAAGGTTTATTATCATCCATAAATTCCTTAATATTATAATAACCCATTTTATACAAACTTAGTTTAGTAGAGTTTTTGTACTTTGCGCACGTCAAATTTTATATATTTTATGGAATTTTGTTGTAGAAGCGTATACATCGCTCCAAGAATTCATTACTGACTCGGTGGAGTCGAGTAACTGATACTACTAGATTGTGTCTGTTCCTAGTATTTACAGAATGAATATCACTTATTTTTGTAAAACTACTTTTATTTTTTTTGTATTGGAGTATTCTAAGACCTAGCCTTTGAGCTTTGGTCTTTCACATTAAGACTTGGGAACATAATGATCAGCTGGGACTTCATAGTGTAGGCCATTGACTCGGCGCAAATCTCCTGATCTATTTCTAAAACTACACACATACATTTTGAATGTGTGAAATCTTAGTCCTCAATCCACAATATAAAGATAATAATTTAAAGCATAATAATAAATGATGTTGTATACCTATCCACCTCACATTGTGTAAAAAATGTTAACATTACTTGCTGATAGTAATTGTTATCCACTTAATGTTCATTACTACAATCGCTGTGGGTCACGGACGTTTGTAGGAAGTCTTGCCGCTCTATTATAGATGACTACATCCGTATTTTGTTCAGTGTCGATGCCTAGATTCTACTCGTCATCTACAAGTAAAGACATCATAATTAACATAATTTAGTTAAGTATGAATCAGGTTCACTTCCTACACAGTGATCAACAAAAACGGGCTTAATGTTACTATTGTTGGTTATAAATTTTGGGTTGTGGTGGTATTGGATTTTTTAATATTGAATTAAAACTTATTTGTAATATCATTTTTGAACTTTGTTTTAATACAATCTTTAATTATTTTTGTGCAAGTTTATCTTTTAAAATCAGTAATATTTAAAACTAAAAACCAATGGAACACGAAGGTTCGTTATTGGCAGTGGTAGCCTCTTTTTTCTTATTATCAGGCAGTCCTTGACCACCATCTCACCTGACGGTATATGGTGATGAAGCCTTAGATAAATCGCACTGTATTAGCGTAACAAAAGCCTATCCACTCCTGCCTTAAATTTAATCGCAGGGTAAGAGTGACGATTTAAAGACGTTTGCAGAAACTTGATAGATTTCACCTGCGCATTACATCTGCTTTCAGCGTGCACGGGACCTTGCTTTGTAATAGTTTATGAGCATCTTTTTAAGCTATGATCAGCTTTATGAAGGGTATATCTTTTAACCAAAAAAAACTTTTCGCCATCAGAATATTTGTATTAACACATTTTTGACATTTATTAAATAGTTTGTTGATGTCCTCGTTAAGAAGTCTGCTCCACGAAAACCGATTTACTTTTTAAAGGCGTTTATTGCTTCTCAGCAATTGCATTTTTTTTAAATTTTATTGGCGTACCAAAAATTTATCTCTGTCTGTCAGAGTGTCTCACTCTGTTGGGCCAAGGTATGAAGAATATGGTAGATGAAGAAGGGCGTCTACATTTAGCTCTGCTAATTTTGCTAATGTCTGTGGTATGTGGCCTAGTGTTGACATGAAGAAGCAATGGTTTATTTGAATACCAGCTTCTCCATCATCAGTTGCAATTCTTGATTACTGCGGGCAGCAGTAACTGTTCAGCTATAGTGAATAACACCACCAGTAGACAACTGAATGTATATAACTAAATAGTTTCGGAAACTATTTGGCTTTGGCATCTGGAAATTACCTCTGTGATTAACCCTTGTATCGTATATCGTACAAGATCCACTTCTCATTGCAGGTAACAATTCGACTCGGGTTTTACATTCCAATTCATCATGATACAATCCTTGACGCGGGCCGCTAATTGCCTCATTTTACGCATTCGCCGTAAATGATATAATCATGTTTGGATACTTACATCAATAGTCGACGCTAGCTTAGCCGTAGTTCGAGATGGGTCCACTTTCACTTCTTTCCCAGACGGCCACGAGATTGAACGCTATACCCAGAACGCACTGTTCGTTCATTAGTAGTGCTAGGTTCGTAAACGTCATTAATATTGCGTACCGTTTGAAACACATTGATTCCACGTCAGAAATTGCGTAAATTTTCTTAGTAAAATAATATGCCTCAAATATAAAATTTATTTGAATTTAGAAATCCATGTCAACTCAAAGCTTTATCATACAGTTCAAAATGGTCAGTTCAACAAAACGGCTATTATATAGGCAAAGACCTAATATAATTTACTTAAATTAAACTTAGTGTACATAATTGTAATTTTTTATGAAAACTTCATATTGTTTAAACCAGAGTTCCCCAAACTTTTTTGTGTCGTAGACCCCTTGCCATGTTTTTCCGTGTTGGTTAGACCCCCTACTTACCTGATATTGATTTCCTGTAAATTTCTAACTGTAGTGAAGTTTAGTGTTAAAAACTTAAAGTAAAAACACATGTTAATTTATACATTTATTAATTGAATTTAAATTAAAACTACTCAAAATAAAATTTTGTATCTGTTATGTAAAATATACGTAGCATTAAATAAACGTAAATTAAACTATAAATAAAATAACATAAGCAATAAGTCAATATTTTTAGTGAGAAGGATGAACCTGATGCTTTAATAATAAATTAACAACATTTGGCGTCAATTTTGTAAGGGTTAATCTTAAATCTCCTCGGCTAATGATGTCCAGTCTGTTTCTTTTTTCGTTAGGAGATTGGTACAGCGCTGAACCCCTTTTTCACTACATAGGTATGACGATGGAAAGGAAATTAAAAATTTCCTCGCTATATTCCATAATACGGGATAAGTAACGGGTATGTTGTTTTACAGCCAGAATTGCTGATATCCGTTTTTAAACTGAACTTTAAGTTCTTCGTTTGTACTTCAGTTCAGTCAGTTCCTCTTGTATTATGATATTCGTTTCTTCTATGTCACCATATGGATTAATTATCCACGGTGGTATTACCATAGTCAAAATATCCTCAAACCTAGATTCAAAATCTGAATAGAGGGCATTTAAATGTTGAACGAAAGTTAAAACGTCGCGTCGTCTTCCTGGCAGCTTGTCTATGACAAATTGGGGAACTGAGAAAATTTGCCCCGTCCAATATTTTGCTTCATTAGTTTAACTCTGGCAAGAAACGCTGATAAGATGTACTTTGTTTTAATCAAATTTAAACTGTCGCCTTGTAATTGCAAATTAACCATATTAAATTTTGTAAACAAATCTGTTAAATAGGCGATGTCTGTTTTCCTCTTCATTAATTTTTTTTAAATTTTATCTTTAGTATCCAGAAATTCTAAAATAGTCTCAAAAAGTGTAAAAAATCTTGTCAAACATAAGCCTTTCGACAGCCAGCGTACTTCACAGTGTGAAGGAGTAATTGATGAAAGTGTTCGTCATTTTCTTCACACAACTGCGCAAATAACCGCGTATTCAATGCGTTGCTTCGGATTCGGTTTACTGCATCAATGACTAAATGAAGTGATTCATGCAATCTAACACTCAAATTTTTAGCAACTACATGTTGTCGATGGATGACGCAATGTATTGCTAACACCCCTGACACATTTTGTTTTAAATAGCTTATAAATCCACGATAACGTCCAACCATGGCACCACCACCATGGTCCACTTGATAAAGGAATTGCTTTTTCAATGAAGTAATTCTTCAAAACATGAAATATTGATTCACCTTAGTGTCGGTTATCAAAGTTCTTGCGAAGAGCAGTTCTTCGTAGATTTCTTGATGCATAATAAAACGAACATATGCCAATAATAATGCTGCATTATCAGGTAAAGTAGACTCGTCCAGTTGTATTGAGAAATGGGTCGTTTGCAAATAATTACATAAGAAGCTTTCAATATCAGAACTCATTTCATCAATACGTCTTTCAACAGTATTGTTGCTTAAGGGAATTCTTTTAATGATATCAGATGCAGGTTTGTGTAAAACAGTTTTTAAAACCTCTTCAACGGCTGGCAAAATTAACTTCTCTCCGATAGTATGCGGTTTTCCGGATTTTGCTATAAGTAACGAGATATTGTAAGACGATTTCTTTGTGACGTCGAAGCGAACATTCTGTCCAGTGTAGGTCTCTTCTGAAATTTATCTTTGAGTGTTTGAAAGTATTTCAAATCTTTCTCTGTTTTATCAGGGTGGCATCTTCTCAGATGATCTTGCAGTTTAGATGGTTTCATAGCGTCATTGCCCAAAACTTTGTTGCATAAAAGGCACGTAGGCAATTGTTTGTCCGGCAATGATGGAATGAAGCCAAATTTCAAATAATCGACACTGTACTGTCTACATTTCTTTTTATATTCGGACATGGCATCAGTCATCTGTGGGCAAAATTAAATTATTTAAATAAGACAGAAAATCCAGCAGCTGTATATTAAAAATATTTTTTGAATTTTCCGAAAACATTCCATAATTGGAACATCTTCTTGCAACAATTAGCTCGAATTACGGAGATTGCACTGTAATTATAATACCGATTGCTAAAACTTTCAAAAAGAAACTATTGAGGAGTACTCGTGTAATTTTGCATGATTGAATATTAAACTACTAATAACTAAAGTCATGATTGGCGTGATTTATCTATCTCTGCTAACTACGAGTACAAAACTAAAATTTAATAAAAAATAATGTACTTACTTTTCTCCAGCACTCTCAAACAAAATAACACTGACTCACTATAATTTTTGTGATATACTATCTGTTTATATTTTTTAAAATATTTTCTTAGCACTTTCCTTTTCAAGATTCAGGAAACGAATAAACGTATTTGTCCCATATTTTATAGAGTGACGAATTGAACAAGTCAGTGCAAGGTAGCGAAGCTCTGAGACTGCGACTCTCAGGTTCAAGTTCAAAATGTATTGCGACCACAAAGCGAATACCAACATCCTACAACTTACACAATTTTATAAACATATATAATAAATTTTTTACTTCATAGGTACTTTTATAAATAATGTATATGTTTTGATATTATAAGATAGTATGATGTAAGTAAATAGGTACTATCAGTGTATGTGTTGAGATCCACTATCGCGGACCCCCATTTTCATTTCATGGACCACCAAATTTTTTTTCGCTGACGTAGACCCCTTGCAGGTTGTCATAGACCCCTAGGAATCGATATAGACCACTTTGGGAATCACTGGTTTAAACTATTATTGCTTAATTATTAATTCAATATAAATCTTCAGACTGTCTCCATCGCACTGGGCGTCGATACTATCTCAGTATAACGAATCTGTGGCGGGAAAGTACGCGATAATACTACCACCTACACTGTTAAGCCATCGTGTAAGTCCCGAGCTAGCTGCAGGGCTCCGTCACCCGGACGAGAAGGAACCTCCACCTCTTCGTTGGCAAGCTTTGGCGGCCGCATTGGATCCTATAGACATATTACCGGGTAAGTGAGTAATTGAAAATATTCTTTCATGACCATAACGTGAAAATGACATTAGGAATGTCAGACACTATCATTAATAATATTACAAATTTTTAAGATATGATTACAAAACTAAAGCTAACGACTCTCGAAATATTTATGCGGTATATTACTACCCTTTCTTTTTCTTCTTTTACACTCATCGAACGTGAAGCAGAGATGTAAATGCTCCATCATCATCAAATCAAAAAATCGCGATCTACTCAACTTAAATCACTTCCACCACCTTTATATTGCATTTATATAATAAAAAAGTACACCAATAGCAAGAGGAGATTTCAATTAATATTTCTGACGTATTTATAAGACCGTTTATTTCGACTATTATTAAAAAAAATTGAAAATGATTTTACTTGCTATCAGGTGCTCGGTATGGATGTGAGCAACATATCTTTCGTAAAACTGAACTTATCACTTAAATGTTTTTATTGGCTTTAGATTTTAATCCGGAAGCCTTTTGAATTTCACTATTTTTTCTAGTTAATTGTTTGAATTTTTTTTCTGTAACAAAATACGTATCAACAAGCAGTAAAAATTGTGGACTGTTATGGGTCGCAACTGCATTTAATTCTAATGGAGAATAAATGAAGATGTCTTTGAGCCACTTACTATCAGGTTTACTGTGTGCTATATTTTAAAAATAAGACAATTGAAGAAAAAACATTTGAAATCACACAAAATTCATTTCTCATTCAGACAATCTGTTAGGAAATAATTGCTGACAGCGTTTTCAAATTTTTAGTATTTTTAATTCTAATAATAGCGAACTTATTGGGGAATAGTTACTAAGTGTGTTTCCTTTCGCACTGAATAATAGTAATTTTAATGGCGTCTTATGTTTCTTCGCTGGTATATAAAAGTAAAAAGTAAAGTTACAGCCTATATACGTCCCACTGCTGGGTACAGGCCTCATCACATTTCTGAGAGGGTTTTAGGGCAAGGAATAGTCTGCCGCGCTGCCCCAATGCGTGTTGGCGAACTTCACATGTCTTCGAAATATTTTTTTTTCTTATTTCCCAGATATGCAGGTTTCCTCACGATGTTTTCCTTCACCGCCGAACACGTAGTAAATCAGCACTTAAAATCGCTGGTGTATATATATATATATATATATATATATATATATATATATATATATATATATATATATATATATATATATATAACCTCACTCATTTTGTATTTAAAAACACTGAATCACATTCATGCACCTTCTACATAGTCCCATAATGTAATGATATATATATATATAGGGTTTTAAATTTGTTCATCATTCTGTAATGTCGGGAGATTCTGGGAATAAATAATAATACGTCTAGTGGTATTGACTGTAGATTTATTACCAACTCTCTCTCCTATTATATCCTACATATATATATATATATATATATATATATATATATATATATATATATATATATATATATATATATATATAAGCGCACACTACACGCCCATCGTCAAAAAAGAAAAAAAATCAATCACATTTTTTTTGAAATGTAACGTAACTTGGTGTATAAAAAAATAAAAAAGGTATACATTATTTCAAAATGTTAAAATTCTTATACTATAACATACTTATATCATAATCAAACAAAAATAACATATTGTAAACACTGAAATTTAAAAAAATAACTTTCTATCTCTTTATTTAAATTTTTTAAACAATCATCAAATTCCTTGCGTAATTGTATTGATTCTCTAAGTTTTTGTTTTAAAATACTTTTAGTTTGCCTATCATAACTGCATAACATTTAAAATTTTTACGATTAATTCACTAGACATGAAAATACAGTTTTAAAAAAAATATTGTTATCAAAAATATTATAAGGCGTATATAAGGCTGTTTACAATATTATTATTTTCTTAAACTATATTTTTAAATTTAAACCTTAATAAACCTTAAAGGTAAAGAAGCCAATACCGTTAAAATATTATTATTTTCTTAAACTATATTTTTAAATTTAAACCTTAATAGACCTTAAAGGTAAAGAAGCCAATACCATTAAAATATTATTTTCTTAAACTATATTTTTAAATTTAAACCTTAATAAACCTTAAAGGTAAAGAAGCCAATACCATTAAAATATTATCCTTATTTTTAAGTAGATAAGCTTCAGTATATTTATTTAAATCACACTATACTTACACAAGGGCCCTACTAAATCTAAATAAACTCTATGAAAAGTGGAATATCCCATAAATCGGTTATACCCATTGGCTCTTATATATTTATTTAAGTGTTTATATCGCAACACCTGTCACATCGATTTGTTAATAGTTATTAGATAATTAGTAGGATGTTACTAATTATGTATAGTAGTCTCTAGTCTCTAACTCTGGTTAAAATAACCTTTTCTTTGTATTGTTTATCATTCGTCTATACGCGCGTGACCGTTAGTTGGCAAAAAATGATAGTCGCTTAATATTACATGTTTTGTCACACGGCGGTCCTATTGCAACATAATCATAATCATTAACATAACAACAGGGATCAAATACAACTTACAATCTCAGCCGCGTAAGCGGTTTGTGACACCTTTGTTTTAATTTATAAGTATATTCATGGGAACGTTTTTTCGATTACATTGTATAATGGTATCTAGTTTTAACCATGCATTAAAATGATACTATAAATAAAATGAATTTAACTTTCCCAATAGTTTGTACCTCTAAATATAGATTGTTACATTCAATTTCAAATTAATTTTGTAAAAGTATTATACTTTTACATAGGTACATTAACAAAAAATCATTAATTAAGTTATTTATAATTTCGAAAACTCATTTTTTCATGACATGAAATTTATATAAAAAAAGAAAACTACTAGGTACGCAGCTCAAGTTTGTTTTAAGAAATATTTAATAACATTGAAAAAGGCAATTTTATTTCAAACAGATAACATAATTTTAGGTTCCGTTGTCTTTTATAAATAAAAAACGTAAAAAAATACTAATACATTAATAAATTTATAATAATAGTGTATCGATAGATTCTGGACTTTATTTTATAAGCAAAATATAAACCAAATATAGTTTAAAATGTACAAATTTTACATAAAAACATATGACAAAAAAAGAGATTTAAGTTTAGTTATTGTAAATATGTCTATATTGTAATGTGTCTAAATATGAAAAAAAAATTGTAAATTCATATTAATCCACGCGAAAATGTATTTATCATATTTGATTAGCATATATTTTTTTACGTGTAGTTGTGTGAATCGATCCCTATAGTTGTTATATGTGTAATTTGTTAGTCGCATTTTGGGTAGCATTGATAGTCTTAATACAGAAATGCAAAATAACTACACACTTTGTGATTTGCTCTGGGATCCCCTTATTATCCTGTATTTTTGTCGATTAATAGGCCTTTTTTCCATAATTCTTGTACGTACTTTTTTTTTCTTCTTAATATTTTTGACCTTTAGCAAGCTCTCTTTCTCTCTATTCATTATATATTTATTTATTTATTTATTAGATACCGGGAATCGGAGTATTAATTCATTTCATTTTTTTTTGTTGTTGGTGGTGGGTGGTGTTGGTTTGTGTTTCCCCTCTGTGTGTAATGGGTTGGTTTTGTATTATTTTTTATATTTTATTTTGTGATATTTATCACGCGGGTACTTTATAAATATGGGGCCTCCATTTATTTGGGTATTATATTACATTTTCGTAACATTCATTTCATTTTATTGGTACATAAACTTTTTATCGTAATTATGTCAAGGTGAAAGTGTACCTTGGGTTGTGCACACAACCTTGAGGCCTATGTTTAAGTCATTAAAAAGGACTCCAACAATTGTCACGGAGGAAAACTAAGTTCACACGATGATTCAATGAATGATATGACCTTTATGTACCATTATTAAGGGTAACAAATTTAAGCCTTCTCTGGTCCCTAACAGTACTAATATGAGTAAACTCGTATACATCACTTGTACTGAAGGTACTGTTCCCTAGTACCCGTTACGCCCGATTTTATCATCCAATCACGGAAACATACCCTGCTCGAGGACTACGTTATACCAGTGATGGACGTTCCCGTATCTCTCCATTACTTATTTATTAAGGTCAATTTTTCTTTTATATCTATTCCTGTCATGCATAATTCTCCCTCCTAACGGATTCAATACTACTAGTTTAGGCATCATTAAATATTTGGCTGATCAGTCCAATATTGACGAAACTTAGCTACTCAATCATTCGTATTCCAACTTTCAAGCATTTCTATATATATATATATATATATATATATATATATATATATAAGCACACACTACAATTCGCTCTACTTCTCGCGTATCGTTATTTCAAACGTAATTAACTATTTATTTAAATGAAATACTTTGTCCCTAGTAAAGTTAATCGTGTATTAATCGAGTTTTGATCAAATTCATCACAAGACAGGACCAAGATTAGATAAAATATGTGGACCTCACGCCGCCACCACATGACAGGATTTGCTACTTGTGTGCTTCTTGCGTAAAAACATTTTTTAGTCATCTTAATTACTGCATTGAAAGTAATAATTATTTTTAATTGTGTGTACAGATTTCGAATTGATTGAAAGTAAAAGGCAGTTGCATCAATGGGGAAAAGATGCTGATTTACCCATCTACCCTACGACACCCATGGAGATATTATTGCTGGCAATTCTATGTACAATAAGTGTCGCCGTGATCGCTTACATGATGGTGGTTTTGTACAGGTAACTAAGATTATATCAGTTACTTATACCAATTTTGATGATTGTTTGTATTTTAATATATTAAGTACATTGATCAGACACGAATGACGAAATGGAATTGACTGCAGCGTTCCGTGTTTCACAGAGACTATGTTCTAGTGTTTTTGTTGTGCAGCTCATTTGTCTAAATTAACAATAATAAGTTTTACTGTTGACTTATGCCATGTAATATAAAATTTGCCTTCTTGTCGAAGTCAGACCAAAGTAAAAGATAGACTAAGCGCTGCGTAGATTTCAAGTGATGCATAAACACGCTCAACTTCTTGTCTCACACACACTTTTTCTTCCTTGTTTCTTTCAACAGCCTGTAAAAGTTTGCTACTGGACGTAAGTACACGTATGAATCCAAAAATGTTGGTTGCAAATGATTATTAATGTATATTTGTATGTGAGTGCGTGTTCTTACAATAGGCTGAGCATGGTTTTTGTGTCTGTTGAAATGTCTCTTCATTAAATCGTACTGCATCAACAGCTTTCTTAAGTTCGCTCCTTAATTTGGTACATCTAGTTAAGTTTGTTCTTCAATCCGACTTATCTATTCTTTAGATCAATATTCTCACCAATCTTACCTTGCCTATAATTTATGAATTTTAGTAACTTATTTTAATACAATTATGTACTCACCTAAGTTTATACGGAACCCTCAGGGTACGAGTTCTACTCATACCTGTCTTTTACCATTTTCTACTAAATCAGCACTTATCATCAGGCCGGATAGAAGTCAAGCACTGTCTTGTTTTAAGAAAAAAAGCCGGGTTGCACTCCGGGAGTGCCGACAGAAGTGAAAACTTGAATATTAACGTTGTGCATTTATGATATTTTGGAAGGATTAGGGAATAATTTTGCACGAAGTGCTTTAATTATCAGTATAAAAGTACTATCATTTATCTGATACAATATTTATTTATTGCGCTATCGTACACAACTAAACGACACAGCAGGCGCAGGTATACATTTTCGCCGCGCCGTAGAAAAAGACGGGGATACTTCCTCTCCTACGCCGCGCCGGCTGTCTCTTTCACTCCATCCGTCTTACGCATTTTCGATCAGGGTCACGTGTCCTGACGCGAGTTTAACATTTATTACCCATTACAAAAAAATTGTACAACGCCGCTAAAGAAGTTTTCACTTCAAAAATATTAATATGACGTTATATATTTGTAGATGTGTATGCTCACGACACTATGCCGAATGGCGAGCTTCTTGGAATGAAGACGAAGAATATAGGAAGATTATTGCGAAACAACCTGCTGTGCAGGTAAAGTTGTCATTCTATCTTTGCTATCTTTTCAAAAACTTTTATGTCGAGATATGGTGCGGTGATAAAAAAAACCCGGGGGGTTTGAAGGGGGGGGGGGGGGGGGGGTGGGGTTGTATTTTGTGTGTTTTTTTTTATTTGGGTGGGGTTTTTCAATTTTTTTTTTTTGGTCCTCGCTTGTTGGCGATCGCGAAGCGCTGTCATCGTGTATGACAGTGTTGGGTTCTTTTTTTTTTTATTTTATTTAAATTTAATTTTTTATTTTTTTTTTATTTTTTTTTTTTTTTTTTATTTAAATAATTTTAAACAAACATAAAAAAAAAAGGGGGGTGGGCGCGACTTTTTTTTTTTTCAGTCGTTTTTTTTTCTACCCCCCTTTTTGCCTACTACTTACATTGTGTAGTGTATTTATCTATTTTGTCGCAACTTTGATAGTTGAATTTTTGTTTGAGATATGACATTAATCTTGTATACAGCTTCACTAGCGTGTTGTTAACGCTTTGTCGACCCACATTCGTTATTTCATTCAGCAAGGCAGTCGTACTGGAAGCGTATAGGATATTTACCATAGTGCCACGGAACCGCGGTTTTTTTTAGTGTTTGTTAAGAAGACATACTGTAGATGCTCTGGTTTATTTCCCTCTGACACCTCTGACACCATTATAGGGTAGTGGATATTCTTAAACAGCCACTACAAGCTTAATATTATTTGGCCCAATAGTTTAGGCAGCTAAAGCTAAAATTAAGAGCGCGTACAAAGTTACTTACTACGGCGGTTTCTTTTTCACGTCTCATAACGCGAAGCGTTGGAGGTGGTGCTTTACTCCCGAAACGTCTAGGTTAACTAATTTTGTGGTCTTTTGTGGTCCTTAGTTTTATTTAAAACTCTTATGAAAGTCTATTGTTCCAAAAGTGACCTCTACGAGAGAAGAATCGACATCGACGAATCGAAACTTTGGGGGTTATTGTTTACGTTCCCTCTAAGTGTACGTAGTACGTAAGGTCTAGGGGGTCTAAGGGTTTACCGTCCCATCGGAGTGAAGGAATAGAGAGTGCCTGTACTTGCGCATACACTTGGGCACCTGTACCGCGCTGATGGCTAGTCTCCGTTTAGGCCGGCCGCCGTGATCGAAATTCGGTCTGGAGGACATTACATAAACATAAACCATATTACACTTATACGATAACATGAGTAGTCTTGTATCAAGAAAACGCTAATTAATTCATCTTATATTTTCTAAAGAAATCATTTTATATTGCTACATTGAAAAAAAAAACGGTACGGAAAAATATTTTACGTGGACATCCGGATGTCTGTATGCTGATTTTGTATGTGGTCACGATAACTCTCCGATGTTTACAATTTTTACGACTTTTTGGATCGTAATATCTCCGAAACGGTGGCTCGTAGAAAAAAAACACTGAAACATTTTTTGTAGATAATTTTATGCTCTACAACTTTTGTCCGGAGTATTTTTAAGATAAAACTTAGCGTTTTGCCGAAAATCGCGAGAAACTCATTTTTTTGACCTTAGAGCTTGAATAATAAATTTCCATACACAGGAATGGTGTAGAACTTCAAAATATTATTTATTATTGTATCTTGTATAATTTTCCTGATTATCAGCTTGTTTTAAATTTATTATTATGTATCACCGAATGTCTAGATTGACCGGACTATAAGAATTTGAAGCAAATCGTCTAACAGGGCGTTTAGGAAAAGTCATTATCTTGTTAAACGTAACAATTACGTGTCTGCAAAGGTGATCCTGAATCTCATTGAAGTTTTTTTATAAAATTATGTTTACATTTTTTTATAAAAACCTATAATAAACGAACTAACCTATAACCTATAATACTAGGGTTTTCTCATATATCGTAGAAGCTTTTAACATATATTATGTACCACATCCAAAAGCTTAGTCATTGCGGTACCGAGCCATCAAATTTTCGTTAAATTATTCCTTACCTACAAATAATTAAAGAGAATCCACATTTATATAAAGTAGCAGTAATACGAGGCCGTTTGGATCGAATGGAACTGAATGGCTCATGAAACCAGTTATGATTCCAGTGCTTAAATAACTAGCAAGGATTAACCGTCCCATTACTTGATCCGATCCGGCTATCCGATACTCTAATTAATATAACTGCATAGTGTAATAAAATATAATATTTCTATGCATATTTATTTATTGTATAATTGTAAGGTGTTTATCTACATTGCATATTAAGATACTATTAAAAACTTTATACTTTTAATCTTCATAATAAGGCCCGCAGCAGAATTCCGTTTCGGAATTCCGTATATAGTGTGTGGCGCACCTAAGAGTATCAAAAACATCTAGACATGTGTAGAAAGATTCACAACACAGCAAACTCCCTAAAATCAATTACAAATCCAATTAACTATTAAAGTAAACTACTGAATCTGTTTCTATTAACACACCATGATGCGTGAGACGCTATGAAATGCATATTTCTCTACCGGTACTTACTGACGTACACATATGCGATATATTTATACCCAATATGAAACTTCATGTTGACTAGTAAGATATCTACTATATCTGAGGTTATCAGTTTGGTTTGACCCATTATTATAATGTCTAGTTGGTGATGGAAGCCGTCCCGATGGTGGTAGCCGGTCACAGCCAGGAGGTGGAGTGTCTAGTGACAGATGGCGACACCGTAGTCAGCTCGTGCCTGCAAGGCAATATCAAAGTGTGGGACTCGCATAATGGCGACCTCCTAACTAACATTGATCGTAACGCGTACGTATTGTTTTATTAAACATATGGTGCACTAGAAAATACGGCCCTGTCTCAAGACTTATTAAATCTTAATAATGACCACGAGAGGTTATATGAACATCATTGAAAAGGGAATGAACGAGAAACAGTCGGCTTTAATGAACTTGATATGGAAATAATTTTATTTTTCAAATATGCTCTTGGGCGCTATATTAGGGTTTTACTGCACTGTCACTGTCTGAAAACTAAATGGTAGCATTCCTTCTTTAATTCTTATTTATATTTCGTCAAGCAGCAGTGTTGTGTTTCAGTTTAAGGAGTAAGAGTAAGCAAGAGTAGTCAGGAAACATCTGTGGTTTACTGTGTTCAAATTTGTTTGCAAGTTGTCAACTTACCAGCAGGATGACTGTTAACTTATTTAATCAAAAATAAAAGTAAATCTATTAATTTAATATATTTTAACAAAAGAACACTGGCGTATAATAGTAAAAAAGACAAATTTACAAATATATTATTTTACGTACTTATCCCTAATGTGTGACTTGTCATTTTTTGAATTTGAAACGAATTTACTGGAAAACACTTCAAAGTTATTGTGGGGCCTTGAAAGTAAGTGGTTGTAAGTTTTGTAAGTTTAATGCGAAAACAAAACACTGGCGTACCTCCCCTTTTTGTAGGCACTCGCTATGTTGCCCCAGCGAATACCAAAATCCTCAACGTTGCCTTTCCAAGAGACGTAAAGTTCGCGGTAACCTAGAATGAAACACAGCGGGACCGTTGCGGGGCAACTTTAAAAAACGCTAGTTCGGACCCACATGAAATACTTCTCTCATCTCTGCAGAAGACGAGAAAAGTCGGTCTCATCTTCGTTCATGAGACAGCATCTAATAGAGAGCGGTCAATAATGACAGAGTTTCTTTTAATCAACTAATTTTACGAAGAGTATGCGTACTTCTTTCTCTACTTATTTTATCGTAATAATTAAATACTCCGTAATTTAAAATTGTATAATAAAGTAATTCATTTGAATTAGTGGCAGCCAATTTCCATCGTCGTATATTGCGACCCTCTACGAAAATCAACATTTCGATGATTGACAGACAACCAATGTGCGGTACAACAGGATTTTACTGTCTTGGTTTCTACAAAGCCACCGCACGATTCTACACCTATTCGAATTTGCAGATTCTGCTATTGCTATCTCATTTGTAAGACTGGCAGCGGGGATCAGTACACAGTAAATCACATGCTACGCTTTCCTCCTTTTATACTGGATGGCCTTCTTTACCGTCTGGAAATAATAGGGTGTAACGTGCGACCGGAGTAGAAGTCTACGGCACTGATATTTTACAAAAAATAAAATCCAAAATGTAGAAAAAATAAACGTTTGATTTTTTTTAACAACTACTTGGCCCTTTCCCCTCGAGCATGTGACCCTGCGAAGTGACAAGGTCAAAGATGCCAACATAATTTATTGTTTTATTGCCGTTCGTAAAGTATGGTGGACATGATTTGAGTTCCGATAGATTTTAATTTATTTATTAATTTATTTTAAAATATTTGTTTTCATTTTTTGTAAAATATCAGTGCAATCAGCTTCTACTCTGTTCACATGTTACTCCCTATTGTTTTTCGAGACGGTAAAAATGGTTATTCAGTATAAAAGGCGTAAGAGGGTCTAGACCAGAGAAGGCTTGGAAAAGATCAGATGGGCTTTATGGTGTCCGAAGTATTATACGAGGAGACAACTACTCGTATAAATTGGATGTTAATTACCAGAACTTGCGAGACCTCTGCTACTGCCATCGTCATTCCAACTCCAAAGCGTAACAATTACGGAAACTTCTTCTCACAGTAGATTTGATATGGCCGACTCCAATAGTGATATGGAATTTTACGAAATGAAACGGACTGATGAAAAAAGACATTTACTATAATGTAGTAACTAGTTATTGCTGATTATAAATGTCATACATAATAATTTAACATTTTATTTTAATATTACAGATTTTTTAAACTACAAAAAGAACTACGCGAGAAAATAAGCTCTAATAAAATGCTGGTGGATGATAATTACTGCAATATCGTAAAAGGTAATCATTTAATTTAAATTTAATGTCAACCTAACTTGCATTAAAGACTAATTAATGTCCAAAATAGTATGATTTGTGCAAATTTTGAAATAGTTGTAATAGAAGTTTTTAAGTATTTTTTATGTAAGTACTTCAGGTTAGGTAAGTGTAAAAAAAGAAAACAGTAATTTTTTACATTTTTGTATAACTTTATTTTTGTATGATGTGTAATACATATTTTTTTTGTTGAGATATGTTTGTTTTTATAAATAAAAATCATCATATTGCAATTTCAGTTTCCCCGCCTGCTGAGAATATGTTAACAAATGCAAATGAGGTACGCTATATCTTTTTTACAAATTACATTGAGAAAAGCTTATAACATATAATATTATTAATTATTCTAATTTATTCAATAACCATAATTAAGTAATATTGTGCATCTTTCGAACGAATTTTAATTTTTCTTAAAAAAAAGTACTGTATTTATATAATATCGCACATGGTATTGTAGCAATATACAGCAATAATCTAAGTATTCATAAGATAATGATCTGTACCTAGTAATTTCTCACTCTAGCTGGGGGTATTTCGCAATTCAACATTGAGAATACATTACAATTTAACAAGGCTTTTAAAGCTTTAAACAAAGATTAAGCACATAATATGTATTATTTTAACAAAAAAAAATATTTAATAGGTATTAGAGAATCTAACTATTAGAGAATAATGTTGATAAATGAGTACACCTGATGGTAAGTACATGCTCTGAACCAAAGATATCTATATCCTCAATTAAGAATTAAAATCCAGATGTAACCCCTGAGTACTAAAAATGCCTAATTTTCAGTTTTTTTATGGAATAAGGGTGGCAAACGAGCACACAGTCCACTTGATGGTAAGTGGCGCATCATCATCATCATCATTACAGCCCTTCACAAGTCCACTGCTGAACATAGGCCTCCCCCAAGTAATGCCACAAAGCACGGTCCTGAGCCACCTGCATCCATCGACTTCCTGCATATCTTACCAGGTCGTCACTCCATCTAGTGGGGGGTCGCCCTACACTACGCCTACCGGTACGAGGCTGCCACACGAGAACCTTTCTGCCCCATCGGTTATCGGTTCTTCGAGCTATATGGCCGGCCCATTGCCACTTCAGCGTACTAATCCGTTGGGCTATGTTGGTCACTCTGGTTTTACTGCGAATATCCTCATTTCTGAGTCTATCACGCAGAGAAACTCCGAGCATAGCCCTCTCCATAGCTTGCTGAGCGACCTTGAGCGTTCTCATACGGCCAGCAGTGAAGGACCACGTCTCAGATCCGTAAGTCATCACTGCACGTAAGCAACACGCACTGGTTGTACAATCTAGTTTTTAGAGATTAAGGTATACCTGACGAGAAGATATGTCGTAATTTCCCGAACGCTGCCCAGCCGAGTTGAATCCGTCGATTGACCTCTCGGTCGAAGTTGGACTTACCTAGTCGGACTATTTGTCCCAGGTAAACGTACTCGTCAACAACTTCGAGCATAGTGCTCCCAACAACTACTGGCATAGGTGAGACATGGACATTAAACATGATCTTTGTTTTGTCCACGTTCATCTTAAGACCTATCCGTTGGGAGGCACTATTGAGGTCGTTGAGCATAGTGCTTAAGTCCTCCAGCGATTCTGCCATAAGGACTATATCGTCGGCAAATCGAAGGTGAGTGATGTACTGGAGTAATACCGTATCATTTCCAGACCAGTAGCTTGAAAACGTCTTCCAATGCAGCGGTGAAGAGTTTCGGGGATATAACGTCACCCTGTCTTACACCTCTCTGCAGTTGGATAGGTTTCGAGCTCTGGTTCTGTACTCGGATAGCCATCGTAGCCCTACTGTACAAACACTTCAGCACTTCGATATACCGACAGTCAACTTGGCACCGCTGAAGGGACTGTAGCACCGCCCAAATTTCGACGGAATCAAAGGCTTTCTCATAGTCCACATACACCAGGCAAAGTGGCAGATTGTACTCTTCAGTCTTCTGTACAGTCTGCCGCAAGGTATGTATGTGGTCTATGGTACGGAAGCCTTTTCGGAAACCGGCTTGTTCGGGAGGCTGGAAGTCGTCGAGTCTGCGTGCGAGACGATTCGTAATGACTCTCGAAAACAGCACGTAGACGCGGCTCAGAAGGGAAATCGGTCTGTAGTTCTTCAAGAGAGCGTTGTCGCCTTTCTTAAAGAACAAGACCACCGCACTTCTGCTCCACGCCTCTGGAGTAGTGCCACCATGGAGGACGGAATTGAAGAGCTTCTGAAGGACTTCGAGTACCGGTGTTCCACCCGCTTTCAGAAGCTCCGCTGTAATTCCATCCTCGCCTGGGGCCCTGCCTTTTTAAGGTGCTGGAGAGCCATTCTAATCTCGCTCAGACTGACGTCCGGGATATCATCGGAATAGTGTCGGGTAAGACTTGCTCTTGGATCGTTACTCACACTTGCGTGTGGCTCCAACGATGATTTGTACAGCTGCCCATAGAACCTCTCAATCTCACATCAGGTGTCTCGGAAACGATGCTGCCGCACTCAGTCTTCAGCTTTGACAGTTGGCTCTTACTGGCAGACAGATCTTTGGCAAAGACTGGAGCCCTGGTTCCGCTCGATCGCTTCTTTAATACGAGCAGTATTAAAGTTGCGTAAGTCTCGCCGCATGCATTTGGAGATCTGTCTGCTCAGTTGCCTGTATGCTGTCAAATCTGTTGACGATTGCAGCCTCATCTCCCGTCTAACAGCCATGAGATTAAGAGTGTGATCGGAGAGTTTTTGTGTTCTTCTGCGGCGGGTCTTGCAGACCTTAGCTCCGACCGCATGGACAGTTTGCACTAGCTTGTCATTCATATCGTCCACTGCATTGCAATCTTCTAGGCACTGAAAGCGGTTACGTAACTCGAGCTGAAAGTTTTCGGGATTCTGGATTAGAGCACGAGGGAGACGGAGCGTTGACTTCATTAGACGAGACCTCTCCAACGTTTAGGTTCAGTGTGCCTCTAACCATTCGGTGATCGCTGCCAGTTTTCACCCTTGCGATCACTGAGACATCACTGAACAGTTGGCGTCTAGTCGTCATAATGAAGTCAATCTCATTTTTTGTCGAACCGTCGGGGCTCGACCAGGTCCACTTCCTGTGGGACCGCTTCTGGAAGAAAGAGTTCATCATAAAGAGTCCCTCTTTTTCCATAAAGTCGGCCAGCTGCTGGCCCCTTCGGTTCCGTTGCCCTACTCCAAATTTCCCTAACTTCAGCTCACCGTTTTCTCTTGTGCCTAGTTTTGCGTTGAAGTCTCCCATCAACACCGTGTAGTGGGTTTTGCAGGAATGCATGGCTTTGGAAATATCCTCATACATTTCCTCCACCTCCTCATCGGGATGTGACGAGGTTGGTGCGTAAACCTGTATGACCTTCAGCGAATATCGTTTGGTGATTCTGAGTATCAGATACGCGACCCTTGTCGACACACTCCCAATCTTTACAACGTTGTTGACGAGAGACTTGTGGACGATAAATCCGACACCTCCTTGGGACAGATGGTCGCCCTCCCGGTGATAGAACAAGTTGCCGGATTCGAGAATCACCGTGTCCTCCTCCTCTCTTCGGACCTCGGATAATCCTATAATATTCCAGCGCAACTTGTCTACCTCTTCTTCCAGCTCCAGGGTCTTCTCGTTAGTCCTCAGGGTGCGTGCGTTAAATGTTGCCAGGTTGAGTCGTCGTAGGTGGCAACCGAACCTCCACCGGAGATTCTTAGCACCCCCTGCCCCGCCGTTACCATACCGCCGTCGCCACCGTAGCCAAGAATAGCGGGGCCGCCGGGGACTGGGGGCCGTCTATTTGTGTAATTGTTCATGGGGGGTATATTGGCATAGTTGCCACGCTTGGCGAGCGGGTTGGCAACCGCAGTTTTTTTCTGTACAGTTACTGTTATCAGAAAGATGCTGCTGCCCATCTCCTGCCTGTCTCCCTCTGTCGCCTCTTACGACACCCACGGGAAGATATGGGGTAGTGGATATTCTCAACCGCCACTACACGCCCATGGATGCTGTGGCCCATAGACATCATGCATTGTCACCCCTGAGGACTAAGATGGAATGCCTCGTGTCCAGTAGAATGAGTCTCCGGTTCTCCACCCTCATCACACGTAACACAGCAGCATTATGCTACTATTTTACGCTGGCATTCTGTGAGAGCGTGGTCCTGCCCCGATCGAGCTGACCCAATTTGTGCTACAATCATAATATAGCTGCAGCGTGACTCTACCGCGTAGAAGAGTAATTTAATGATAAATTAATGTAATAACAATTTAATATCTTTAATGAATGAAATATAAGCATATCAAATTAGACAGTCATTTTTATTTAAAATGAATATGCTTTCATCATGTTGTTATACATCAAAAACTTAGATTCATTTTGTTTTAAAACTGTCGTAAATATGTAATTTAACGCAATACAACTTACTCATGTTCTCAGTAGGCAAAACAGCCTTTGAGGTTTCCAATATCACGTCCACATTACTTGTCTTGTAAACTAATCAAATATCGCTTACATTACATTTCGATGACGCATACACTATAATCCTTGGTAAAACGTACCCACCAATGTAATTCTCGAAATCGAGTTGTTATCTTAACAATGCTGCCAGTTCATACCAACTTTAAAATATTAAACCTGTTCAATGATCTCTATGTGATTAAAACTACTTTTACGGATTTTATCGCGTTAATTTATCTATCAAATCTGATGTAATGGTTGGGGCCGTCCAGTATCATTACATTACATCAGATTTGATAGACCACAAATCCTCGCGAAAGAATACCGAATCCTACCAAGGATGATACGTGAGGCTATTGAAATTAAAAAACATCCTAATTTCAATAGAGAAGGAGGCTGGGTACTACCACCTGCTTGGGATCCTATAATCAATAAAATTAAAACTAAACCCAAGCATACCACTGCAAGACCTCAAGACATAGTTCATTTTGCATAGATCGGACCATAAACAATAATTAAAAAAGCTGAAGGTACTCCGGGTTTAACAATGACATCGGGACGTCAGTCATCTCAGTCCCCGGGACCATGGGTGCTGGAAAGCGCCCGAAACGTCGGGAATTAAAAATAAAAGTAATTAAAAGCAAAAATAAACGCGATAAAATCCGTAAAAGTAGTTTTAATCATGTGTAGTGTTCGCGTAAATATAAGAAATCATTATGATCTCTATGTGTTATAAATATTATTTATTAACAATATTATACCATGATTATGAATTATATATTACACTATTTAACGTATTTCAAAAATTTCTAGAATGTGCCCCGTCTTCGGAAAGGATTGAGTAGTCATCTAAGCGGCTTACGTTTTCGCGCTAACGGTCAAGATTTGCCATCCCCCATATCAGCTGTGGAAGCCACTAAATATAACTTCGCTAAATGCTACAGGTAAACTTCCATTTAAAAATTGACATGCAATTAGTGTTTATTTAAATAATAGTAGAGGTTATTTTAATACGAGCATACGGCTCAGCTGATGGTAAGTGATTACCGCCGCCCATGAACAACTCCAACATCAGGAAAATTGCAGATGTGTCTCCGGCCTTCTAAAAAGGAGTAGGCTTTTTTCTTGAAGGTCCCTAAGTCGTATCGGTCCGGAAAAATCTCTGGTGGTAGTCGATTCTGCAAGGAAGTTGTGCGATTTAAATTGCACGGTGGTGGACCGCCAGTAATCTAGATGGTATGGATGGTATCGCGAGTATTGTCGCGATGTGCGATGGTGAAGTTATGCGGCTGAAATTAGTCCCAACAATTCCTCAGAGCACTCCCCGTGGATATGTGATAAAATACGCAAAGAGATGCAACATCTCTTCGCAGTGCCAGTGAGTCAAGCCGATCGGAGAGTTTAACCAGTTTCACAAAATATGTTTTGAGGAAAGGAAAAGAAATATTGAACGAAACTCAGGCACCAAATTGTTCGTTATTGATCTATCTGCCATTAAAAGCAAACTGTCCAAGTTGAAAATCGACTGCGACAGCCTTTTTCTGTGTGGCCTGAGATCTCGATGACTATTTCGTTGATATTTCTGGCATCAGTCGTCTTCAGCGACTAGAAAAAAGTACTTAAAGTGCTACAGAAGATGTTCAATTCCGTCCTTGCCGAGCTATCCGAACAAGCCGGTTTTCGAAAAGGATTCAGTCATGTTATTGCAAATTATATAAAAGACCAATGAGTACTATACTCTGCCACTTCGTCTTGCATATGTGGAATATGAGAAAGCCTTTGATTCTGTCAAAACTTAGGTGGCGCTAGAATCCCTTGCGCAATGTGAGATACAGTCTGTACATCGAAGTGCTAGGAGAAAAATGTCGAGAGAAGCCAATGTTCGGCAGTAGACTTGTGAAGGGCTGTAATGATGATGATGATGATGAAATGGAAGTTCTGAAGTGCTTGTACAGTAAGGCTACAATTGCTATCGAAATAGCGAAGTGTAAGATATATCCTAGAAACTATTCACTATAAGGTTAGCAGAAATTTTTAAACTAAATTTTTTAGTTTTCTTAAAAAAATTATTTTGTTGAACCTTTTCGATGTTTGATTGTAGTCCATATCATTTTTTTATAATTAAAAGTTAAAACCAATGGCACATTTTTCTATAAACATAATATATTTTCGTCATATGTTATCGTAAATTAATTTGATTAACTGGAGAATTTAATAAAAACAATTATTAAATCTAACTACTATGGATAAGGCGTTATTGTTGGATTTTACAAACTTATTTTATATTATTTTCTAATTTTACAGAGATCTTTATTACGCCGATCAACTGGACTGCGATACTAAAGAAAACATTGACTCTAGTAACTATAGTTTAAATAAGAATGATTTGATAAGTGTTAAGGACAAAGATGTGTGCGACGAAAGTATATTTGTATTCAATTCAAGTGCACAAAGTTCTAGTGTATTACGCAATAGGCACGATAAAAAAGTGAACAAAAGGACTAATAATGACTTGGACACAGTTGCCAATGAGAATTATAAACAGGAAGAAGTCGGTGAATCTCCAGTGTGGTGCATGGACTTTTGCAATGACCTGATCATCGTAGGTTGTGCCGATGGAAGACTTGAGTTCTGGGAGGCCAGTTCTGGAAAATTAATGGTAACTTTTTACGTATTTTCGGAAATAATAATATATTTTCAGATTTTGATGAAAATTTAACATTAAATGTTACATTCCAATGTAGTATTATATTATATTTAGCTATTGGCTTTTTTCTGCGTTGAATTCAATTGATCATACTTTACCATAACCTTTTGCTCTTTTCAAATTCATGCCATCCTTTAAATTTGAAGATTTGCCTTCGGCAGGCTAGTTCATCAGTGCAGCACCCTAGCACTGGTGATGCAACTCCACCAAAACCAGTCTGTGATTTCAAGTTTATATACTGCAACTTATCAATCACTAGAGCTTCTTTCGTTTAATAGTAGGGTGTACCTCAAGCTCGTAGTGAAGGTCTAATTTTCTAATCTCTACTATAAGTACAGAGAATTAATCGTTTATTTGTAAATAAATTATGTTGACATAAATAGGAGGAATCATAAGAAGGATCAACAAAGAAGATACTTTTTCACCTGTTCACTGTATTAATTAAAATCGAAGCGAATTGTTGCCACAGATTAAAAAGTGCGCCATGAGAGCGTAGTTTTGTCCAAAGAGCTCGCTGGTAATTTTTGACGTATTTTATGTTACGATACAGTTTTTTGTTTCAAAGTGTGTGTTAAGCAGTGACGTTAAGCGAATTACGAAAGCCTGGTTAAAGGCTATTTAACCGATGAACTGGCTGACTATACACTATCATACTGTGACATAAGTATGTTATTAATTTACTTGAATTGAAAACTTTTTACGAGTGATGTATTATATGATAATACATACAGTATTATATGTGCAGTGGCGGCATAAGAATATCCACTACACCATATCATTCTGTGGGTGTCGTAAGAGGCGACAGTGAGAAACAAATCAGGAGTTGGGCAGCAGCGTCTTCTTAATAAAGATTATACTTATACTTATCTTCACGCACAATCCCTAACGGGGTAGCCAGAGAGAACAGATCGCCAAGTGTCACGATCCTTACATACCTCTTTCGCTTCTTTCAGGTTCATTAACTTCTTCATACATGCATGTCTAGGTATCCGAGTACTCTTGACCTTCCCCTCTTCGAGCAATTTGCTCACATGGTCTTCGAAAGTTAGTCTCGGTCTACCTCGACACCTTTTAATATTTACTTTCGCTCTATATATTTTCTTCACCATTCGGTCTTCACTCATTCGCTCAACGTGCCCAAACCATTGGAGTACGCCCCTATCAATTTTTGTGATAAGGTCATCTTTCAATCCTGCCATATTGCGAATCTCTTCGTTTCGCTTTCGATCGGCTATGGTAACGCCACACATTTTACGAAGAGATCGCATCTCCACCGCATTCAACTTGCTTTTATGCTTCTTCTGGCATACCCAGGTTTCGCTGCCATATAACAAAGTCGGTACCAACACTGCGTTATGTATTGCAAGGCGTGCACTCTTCACCACGCCTTGCCTTTTTACTAATGCATTCAGGGCACCATTGACTTTGTTTCCGGCAGCGACACGCCTATCCACATCTAAATCACATCTTCCATCCCGGCTGAAAGCACTCCCCAAGTATACAATTTCATTTACCTGTTCTAGACATTCCTGATTTACCCATATTTCACATTTCGTTCTCTCTTCGTCCTTTTCAAATACCAGAACCTTAGTTTTATTAGCATTCAAACGGAGACCTTTAATTTCACATTCCTACACACGTGACTAATGCCTGCAGTTCTGCTTCTGATGGTGCAATAAGCACTGCATCATCAGCATACAACAGACAAAATAAAAAAAAACTACAGCTGCCAACTTGCTTTCCAAGCATGACAACTATAGCAAATGAGAGCTGAGAGACATATCGACGATGAAGTGACAAGAACCTTTATCTACCAGAACATGATTTTACAGGAAACGAAAAAAACTTTTTATTTATTTTAAACGCAAGGTATGAAAAATACTATTATTGGATATATATTAAATAAGAAGCGGGTATAGGGGGCTATGTGCGAATAGTGTATATACAATCAACTTTTTGATTTAGACGTAGATAGGTGATATTGCAATCTAGGCTTTGAAAATATACATTATAATAGCAAAGATAGAAGATATTTCTAGTAAGGAATTTCTATAATATTTTAAAGAAAAGGCGTGATTTTCATAGAATAATTTTTAATTAACTTCAAAAATGTTACAGATTGTTAGAAAATAACATTGTCCTATTAATTATTACAATCAAATATCTGATACAACATAAAAATGGCTACATTGCTCTTGAGACTTAATTAAAAGAAAACAGAATATAATCAGTTTATAATTACAATTATTGGAACAAAACATGTTATGCCGACCGCAAATAAAATCGGACAAGGGCAGGAAGATGATGTTGGAACAACTATGTTGTCTCAAAAATTATGTTTTATTAAATGAACCAAATGGTTCAAACAAATGGCAAAGTGTCATAAAAATTATGGCAATCTTTAGGTAATACTGCTTTTAGTTGTTGCAGGTGGTTGTACTTCGTTACAGTAATTGGAATTTTGTTAGGATGTAGTGGAGGATAGATTGCTTCCGAAGCTAGTAACCTAGGTCTGTGCGGTAAAGAAATCAACTGTTCGTCAAAACCCAGTTTAACTTCGATTGTCATAATATTGTACTTTATTACTCTGATATCTACAACCTGTGGATCACCAGCTTTGCGGCCTGGTCGAATACTTTTATAAAGCATATTTTCAGGTCGGGCATAATCTTTAACAAATTCATGATCTACATTAATTGCTTCATAAGGGTTAGTGCTTCGTGCCTCTTTAGTAATCGTGACATAATCACTAGGCAAATGTATTTCCCGATTTTTGAGTTTTCGCTCAATAGTACTGTGAACCGAGTCACACTCCATCTGAGTGTGACCTGGTTCTAAAAATTTTTGCGTTATGATTACGTTATGTTGCTTGCTCAAAAGGAGCAGTGCATTTGCCAGCACACAATTACGATTCTGGTATGTACACCCGTCGGAGTAAATAACAATTGGTAACTGATGTGGAATACAATGTCTTTCTAAATAATCAATTAAAAACGTCGCAAAAGTGCTAGACGTTAAATCAGCAGAAGTTTCGTCGAACCAATAACAACTGCAGTGCTTGGTTACTAAATTAAAAACAGTGAAATTATGGCACGTTAACTTTGTCTTGAAATACAAAGCACTAGCAGTAAGGTAAGGACAAACCTTCACAGCTTCTAAATCCATAGTCAAAAGTATAAATTCTCCAGCAGCTGCTTTTTTCTTGTCCTCTTCTTTTTCTTGTCTAGCTCTGTTTTTCTTAATTATATGTATTTGGTAATCTGATTCATTTAAATTACCCGAATTGTAACTTGAACAGGTGTCACACATGTCCTTTTTTAAGCGTAAATAGTGACAAATTTTGTCATGAAAATTCCTTTCAAATGTAAATCTACTAACGTATGGTTGACAAGTTTCAGTGCAATATTTCTTATACGCTTTGTATAAGTCGGAAAGAGAACGATAGATTGGTTCTATGAAGAGTTTAGCTGTATCTTTTCTTGCGTAATGCGACGGCAATTTTGGCAAACTTGTAAAAAAATTGTTTAAAATCGAAAGTTTCGTTTCCACTTCTGCTCTTGGAGTCTTTGTTTTAGAATCGTATATTGCATCATGGTTTGAAGTCATGCCAAACTCACTCTTTTTTACCCATGCTTGAACAGTGAACGATCCCAGTGATAAGGTGTTTAAAAACATTTGTTTACATACCTGTACTTTATTTGAACAATCTTTTTCAATCGGCAAAAAATATGATAGAGTTCCCTCCCGCCTAGATAGTTCACTAGCCGATTTAGTTTTCCGAGATGTACTAGATCGTGTCACCAATCCCGTAACGTAAACTCTTCGTTGATCCCAGGTCATTTTCTTCCAAAAATTGCTATGTATATCCTTTCGACAATCCTCAGTGAACCTATCACAGCCTCTTACCTTACTCTTCTTACAAAAATTGGAGACGCAACTTGGTCTTAGCCGTCTTGCTTGTCTTACAGTATCTTGTTGGAACTTCCTATCTTTTGGTTTAGAATATCCTAGATACTCTTCACCTCGCATTCGCTTCAAAAAAGCCTTGTTCCTTTTCCAAGATTTTGGGTCAGCATTGTGACGACGTTTTCGACCTTCTTCCATATCTCCATAATCTTGTTGGTCCCCAGTCACCAATACTTCAGCAAAATTTCTTTCTTCAGGAATTTGGTAAACATCATCTGATGTAGATTCGATCTGATCCGGTTTGTTAAACGCAATCAATAAATCAAGATTACTGGTAATGTCCAACAACGCTGGAACCGATGGCGACTTTTTTAGGGAACTAATCATATTGTTTGTATCATGCGTTAAATCAGATAATGACCAAGACCTTACTACGAGACGACGACGAGTGCTTGAATATAAAGAAGTAGATTCGTAATCATTATTGTCAAGGATTTCTGTGGGTTCAAAGCTACAGATTTCTGGTGGACTTAGAACATTGATGGTGGCGTTGATAGCTTCCTTTGGGTTGGCATTAGGGTTGAGATCGCTTTGTTCAGGACTACAGCAATTGCCAGAAAAAGGCGTGTTTATGTTATTTTCAGACTAAAAATAAATAAATAAATCATTATTAAATGTAAAGTTAAGGAGTTCTTACAAAGTAGGTTCCTATTTATGCAAAGCAGAAGAACTTTATACGCAAATGATTGATGATTTTAATATCTTACCATTTCGTGTTGATGTATAAATATTTGCTCATTTTCCTCAGCAGTAGAATGTCTTAGGTTTGTTACCAAATTATTTTGTTGAAGTTCGCTAAGAATCCTTTTGCTTCTCACTCCTTGTAGAAATCGAGCCATAGCGGTAGTAATAATATTGGCGGCCTATAAAAAAGATTATTACGTATTATAATTAATGACTAAACATCAGTATTTTTTGTTAGAACGAATTAAAAGTTATTATGGTTCTATACTAATACAAAAGCAATTGCTTCTATCTACTAAAAATGTACAAATCAAATTTGTACACTCAAACAATAACTTCTATGTTCTTGGAACACACCAATAAAACTTACGATAACATAATAATCTTATGATATTATTGTAGTATAAAACTAAATTTAATTAGATGATTAACAAAAGCTGTATATTTTATTAATATAGCTCGGAAAAACCAGAAGACTTCATCAACTTTAAAATACCTACTTGGGTATTTGAAAAACGTATTCATTAACCTTAACAATAACAAAAAAAAAACAAGAAGAAAACACTTCTGTTTAAGTTTTAACTGTATGAGCATTAGTTTAGGCAAAAAATAATTACCTGGTATAACAAAAATCCCACTATTTACATTAAAAACAACAAAAACACACTTCCCGCAAACTTTCACGTTGCAACTTGCTCCGAATTCAAACGAAATGACAGAAGAAAAAATGTAAGCGAATATTGCATGATCCCTCCTATCCGTCTCACTCGCATTTTTAGCTTATCTATGAAATTATCCTTCCTAGACGCAAGCACCAAGCAGGACCATTCAGTCGGCCGGCAGCTGCGTGAAAGTAAAGGACGTATCTAGCAGGAGTGAAGATGGGAGGTCTTGACAGAAATAATTTCGTTAGGGTTATTTAGTAGTTATTGATATTAGTTTCTTAGATGATATTGTCAGAAAATTTGATGCACATTTGCTTAATAGTTATTGTCAGTTATTAATAACTGGTTAAAAAATAAGATATAAAGTTAGCTGCTATTGCCTGCTCACGCAAACAATTATTTAAAGTTTATCTACGAAAAAAAAGTAAAATCGCAAAAATGTCAGTTAGGAGTTCTTGTCACTTCATCGTCGATATGAGCCTATCTATGAGGGAGGCCTATGTTCAGCAGTGGACTTCAATATGCTGTAACAGTAATGTTAATGGTTTACCATGTGTTAAAGGTTTTAAAACATTTAAAAAGTACGAAAATTGCCTTTTGCATGTTATTTGGTTATATGTCTATATTATAATCTTCAGCCTAAAAAAGAAAAATTTAAGAAATAACATATACAATTTTAAAACAATATATTAACTCAATAAATAGGTTAATGACAAGACCAGCGCCCAAGTTACTAAAATCGACACAATTTCCCCGAGTTGTATCGATATCGACGCATTTGCATAATCGTTTCCATTAACAATTATTTAAACATACTGCTTTCTCATGCTCAAAACGATTATAACGTGAAAAAGTACAATTTTTATGCATAAGTATTTAAAAACTTAAAGTTACAGCCTATATTCGTCCCACTGTTGGGCACAAGCCTCCTCTCATTTTCTGGTTTTAGGGCAAGAAAACGTGCGCTGCGCTGCCCTAATCCGCGTTGGCGAACTTGACATGTCTTTGATATTTTTTATTTTTATTTCTTAGATATGCAGGTATCGCCATGATGTTTTTCCTTCACCGCCGAGCACGTGGTAAATCAGCTCTTAAAATTGCAATTAACAATTTCATTGGTGCCCGCGGGGATCGAAACCGGGTTGCTGTCATATTGTGAAATTTACAGCGTGCGTTAACTATGTGAGTTACTACAGCTTTTAGGATATAAGTAATTGTTAACTATACTATTATACAACTAACAATCTGGGAAAAAAGGGTGTGTATTATAATCTTAGGTCATAAGAAGATTTTGATCTGGGGTTACAACAGTGTTATCAGTGCCTTGAGCACAAGTTTTCAACCTTAACGTTTTCGTGTGTCACTGACGAACACAATTGGAATTATGTTGTACTAAGTTATACCAATTCGATACGATGGCAAACACATGCGTAGGTGACTGTACACTTCATCGATTTTTTAATTAACACCAGTGTTGTTATAGTGCATGTGGTGGAGCTCGGAAAGCAGGCCGAGTGGATGTGGTGGCATCACGCATGTGCGTGCGCTTTCTGGTGGTAGGCGAGTCTGCGCAGCGTCGTTAGGCGGTCATCTTACGTTGCTGCGTCTAGACGCGTACAACGCAACTTCCGGCGCACATGTCGACTGGCGATTCAGCACTGCATATCGAAGAAGTAAGTAAATTGATACATTAAAAACTTCGCAGAAAATTAGCCCGACTACATGTTATTTCTGAGATGTAAACTTGGTTGTTAAGTGCAGTCAATGGATGCAAAGATTTATGTTATAGTATAAAGTGATAATATTGTGTCAAGGATACAGTAAGATAGGTTCCTGAGGCTTACAATGTACAATTAATTTGTTGTGTAGAATACTAAATAATAATTATTCATATTATGTTTCCCTTCTAATACAACCCGATGCTATGGTTAATATCTTTCAGAGATGGTAGTACAATAAATATATAGATTATTATTTGACATTATTTAATTTTTATGGTTATATTATTTATTCTTTTTAACCTACAAATTAGCAGAATGCCATAAAAATGCAAATATAACAAAGAAGCAAAATATATTTTGTAATATAATTTCTTTAATTTCTTTCACTCATTCATCATAGACTACCACATGGTGAGGGCGGTATTTGCCATAGCTGACGCGTTTGGCAGGCGGCTTGGCGACCGTAGTTTTTTTTAAATTACGAGTTATTATCAGAAGGATCCTGTTGACCATATCCTGTTCTAGTTTCCTGCTGTCGCCTCTTACGACACTACTGGGTTATATGAAGGAGTAGATTCTCATGTGCCGCCACTACACAGCTACAGTACAGATAGTAAAACTGTGTAGTGCACAAGCACCCTTACTGTGGACGTTCTTTATTCAAGTAAAAATCTCATGTGGTAAAACATATAACAACATTTCGCGTACGCGAATTACTAGTTCACTTGACGACATCGAATTGACCCGCTTTCATGAGCTTTATAACCTCGGCGGTGGTTAGGGTGGCCTCCTCCACGCTATCAACCGAATACACAAAATCATCCATATATAATCCACTTTCAATTGCCCTCTTAGCCTTAGGATAAGAGGGACCTTCATCGTAGGCGATCTGTCTCACCGTGCGTAACGCATGAAATGGGTTCGACTTTAAACCAAAGCAGACGCGGTTAAATTCAAACACCATTAGAGGTTATTTTGGGTCAAAGCGATATGAAATGCGTTGGAATCGACGGTCGCATTCACGGACCCCTATGCAAAGAAACATTTGGCGAATATCGGCGGATAGTGCTAAACTTAACAAACGAAAATTTGCTATTATATTAAATAAACTGCCCTGTAAGTTTTGCCCATTATAGAGGATATCGTTAAGCGACAGGTGAGTGCTAGTTTTAGCACTAGCGTCGAGCACTACACGTAACTTAGACGTAAGTTTGTCTTCCCTAATGACCCCGTGATGTGGTATGATATACGACGGTGTGTCTTCGTAGTTGTCTAATTTTGGAGCCACAAGCGATATGTAACCCTCCCTTGTATATTCTTTAATCATGCCGTCATAAGCTTCCTTTAATCGGGGTGAGGCGAGCATCCTACGCTCCAAACTGTAGAAACGTTTTTCCGCCATTTGACGCGAATTGCCGAGAGATAAAACATCTCCTTTAAAGGGTAGCGCTACACTATATCGACCGTCGCGATCACGAACGGCCGTGCGGACGTAAATTTCCTCGCATAATCTATCATCTGTACTAACTATAGGTGGAACGTTCACCTCCTTCATCACCCAAAATTTGCGGACTAACGACTCGAGCGGTTCGACAGCCATACAACAATAAGAGGTTGCCATATTATCCATGATAGGGGCGGAGCCAACGATGACATAGCCCAAGACGGTTTCCAGTGAGTAAGGCGCGGTATGCGAGGAGTTGCCCCTGACCTTATTGTGTAACAAAAGATGAGGGAAAACGATACTCCAATGAGCATATCTATGTCTCCGGGGACGGCTTAAGTATCGTCTGCCAGCGTCAAATTTTCAAAATTAATCGTTGCCTAGGTGTCAACCGAAATGGTTGGCAGACGTTCAGTGACTTTATCCACTACTAACGCATTTATATTAAAGTTAATGTTACGATCTAGCCGAGAATAAAATTTCAAATGTATAGAGCCCTGGGTAATTTTATTAGTACCTCCGATGCCTTTGACTACAGGACATGAAGGTATCTTATTTATTGGCAGTCCTAAACGCTGACAACATTGCCGCGTCATAAGGCTACTCTGGGATCCGATGTCTAGCAATGTACGGACACTTTGATCGTTTCCACGCGAATCCCTAACTACGACACGGGCTGTACCCAGTAACACGGTTGAAGGAGACTGTGTTCCCATATTCAACAATGAGCACAGAGCGACGTCACCAGGTCGACCGCTAGAATCGTCGACTTTAGTAGGTGTGATTTCCTTGTCCGATTTACTTGACGCGGATATGTTGCCGTTTTCGAAATGTAATAACGTGTGATGTCTGCTGGCGCACTTGTTACACACGGAACTAGAATTGCATTTAGCAACTAAATGTCTATCGCTTAGACAATTCAAACATAAGTTGTTCGTCTTTACTATTGTTGCGCGGCTAAGTTGTCATCTGGCACTAGCGCCATCTAGTGTCGGGTAACAGAGCGAGGAGAGAGCTTTCCAGAAAATGACATTACTAATCTTTCAACCGCCAGCGCCATCTAGTATCGAATTGAAGAACTAAGCTTTCTGGAAGCCCCACACTCGAACTTTCTGCGCTTGGTATTTACTTGAATATTCTGGAATATTCTGGATGTTTTCGTGGAAGAGCCCTATATAAGGGCGCTGCAAGATGCGATCGGGAAAGTATTGAATTTGGCGAAACAAGCGAAGCTTCGGAGCGGAATAAAGTAAATCAGTGTGAATAATTAGTATTTTAAGTTTTAATTTGTGTAAAGAAAATTAAAGTGTTAATTTAGGTAATTCTATCGGCAATTTTTATTGTCACAAACCTCAAGCTCGTAACAATATTCTATAACGTTCGATGGGTGAATGTTTACGAAAGGTCGCACAATTATATAAATTACCGTGTTGTTTATTTTTACATAGAACACAGGCGCTATGAAGCGATGCAGGCGCAGCGGTTACGTACGTTAGAGACCCTGCGGTTCTTGATGATGAAGTCTGTCTGCGGTCGACACATTTCTTAACTTCTTGTTTGAAATTCGAGGAGCGCTGTATCACTTTAATTTGATCTCGCACAAAGGATGCTAATAAATCGAATGATGGCAAATCAGAACTACGATGCTCCATTTCAAACGCACGCACGGTGTCCGAGTCTAATTTCTTTAAGGAGATATGGAGAAACACCACGTCCATAAGGTCATTAAATTTCAGGTTCTTAAGCGCAGCCACCGATGCTACAAATTTATCCGAAAACTGCTCTAAGCCGGTGATGTTCGCGGATGATATAGCTTTAAGATCGAATATCTGGTCTAAATATGAAGAGGCTGACATTCGCTTATCTTCATATTTGTTCTTAAGTGTTTCAAATATTAACGAATAACTGTTTGCTGTTGGTGTGAAGCCCGAACAAATGGACTGTGCCATACCGCTTAATTTACTAATTAAGTAATACAATCTTTCAGCGTCCGATAACGATGGATTATTATGTATATTATGTTCAAAACTATTTACGAACAACGGCCAAGTTTTAATATCTCCATTGAATACCGGAATATCTATGGGGGTCAATCTAAGTGATTCACGTGGGCGTACCTGGGTCTCTGGTTTTGCTTCGCTTTGGGCTGGAGACTGTAAGAGCTTTGCCGTTCTTTTTACGCTACACAACATATCTTCAAATGATAGAAGTGGTTGATAATTCACTGTATACTTCGGGTCGATTTGCAATTCTAAATTATTAATTTGGTCTAATGCACTTCACGTAATCCATCCACAAAGAGTCCACCGTTTCGATTTCACATAAAAACGTTTCCCGCACTGCTTCTACGTTAATATTTTTTATGTGATCACTTATATATTGTATACGTGAAAAGAGTACGTCCCTCTTGGCGTAAAGAGTTTTAAGTTTAATTTCATTTCCACTAACTGCCATTTTAAATCACTTAATTAATATTAGATTAATCACAAGTAATCGCACAACGCTGGAGGATAGACACAATGTAATACAACTATATCTCACAACACTGTTGTCTTATCGTGCCGTATTACGTCGTTAAATTGAACACCTATGAAACCAAATGAGACAACGTGCGTCGATAGATGAGAATCTAAAACTCACACTATTTTTTTACAAATTGTGGGTAGGTCGAATAAGGCCAAGCGGAGCCAAACTATTTTGAATAAATAAGTCGATTTACTTATGCGAGTAACTAATAAATTTTAAATTTAATCTAAACAAAACTACATAATCTATCCAATATTAAATTAGAGTGCATTGTCTAAGCAATTAATCCAGCAGTTCGACACGATGAGGCTACAAAGCACCAGTTCCAGAAATGGTTGGTGAGGCTACAAAGCACCAGTCCAAATCCGCTCGAATGACCAGAAATGGTTGGGCGAAGCTACAAAGCACCAGTCCAAATCCGGCCGAAGGACCAATAAATGGTTGGGCGGGGCGGGCCTTAGGGATGCCGAGTCCCATTCCCCGGTCGAGCCTTGACCCTATTACGCGAGATGTTATACTAGATGGACTGTATACGCGGTAAGCTTCTTCTGCCTCAACAAGATGGCAGAGGTGTCACGCGGTTCCTTGACAATGCACTCGCTCTTCCGAAATCTATTGTTTGCCAAGATTATGAAGGAATCCTGCTTGAGCACATTAGTAGGAATGAAATGGGGCGGGTTAACTAACAAACAAATACTCAAGCAGGCATTGAGTTATAGGAAAAAGAAACACACTTACCGGGGTGTAACTTCGATGCAGCTTGGACGCTTCTATTGCTGCGGTGCGACTTCTGGTGGATCTCCTGGGGCCCCAGAGATGCGTTCCTGGTCGGTGGTGCGATGGAAGAGCGCTGCGCGGCGATATCTAGAAAGAAAGAAAGAAAGGAAGAAAACATTTATTGCTCAAATACGCCACATGTACATTTAAATCATAAACATAAAAAATACATAGTAAAAAGAAAAAAAAAAGAAGAATAAAAAAAATATTAAACACATCACACATTTTACGCACACAAGTGTGTGTGGCGTACACGGCAAACAGACCGCACTCAGCTTAATGCCGCAGTCGATACGAGACTACAGCGCTGGTTTTCAGTGGGCCTGTGAATTAAGTGACGTGCGGACGTTCAAACCGTCATTGGTAGACTAATAATAATTAACATAGATTACATGAATGAACTAACTGGATCTAATACAAAGAATGTCTCACACTAGGTGAGGCGGTTACTCCTGGAGCTCGACTGCTCCAGCTTGGTGCGGTTTGAAACTAGGGGTGCGCGTGAGCAAGAGCCCCTAGGACGCGACTGTCCCAGGCGGTGTGGTTCTAACCAGCGGCGCAATGGCAAGAGAGCCCTATAGCCCAGCGCGCGAGCTTATATCGGCTTCTTTCCCACCGAAGTCGGGCGCTCTTCTCATTGGTTGCGAGAATCACGCAACATTCTAGAATCTCTTCTTTCCCCTCTCACCCCACCACCCCGGTGTGTAGGGAAGCGATAGGTTGAAGGAAGGACAACGCTTGGCAAGCATACCCTCGAATAAAATTAAAATACGAATGGTTTTCCGCGCAAACACTTATATAACCATACTAAATGTAAGTTACATAAAAATGGGAGTCTGTAGTGTAGTGTGTCACTACAGTCCCGGCAGAAATTTTTATGTTTATGACATTTTTGTGCACTAAATATTGTTTGTACTTTCTCTTAAAACTATACTAATTTGTTATAGCTCGTAATGTTGGTGGAAGTTCGTTACAACATTTTGTGTGCACTCTTCTTTCACAACATTTGATCTTAATAATAGTAAGAAAATTCATGTAGGTATCGTTACAGGCGACAATAAAAATGACAGAAAAATTTTGTGCCTTTCGATACATGGTAGCATAAATCAGATAGTAGTAACACACTCACCAGTAACACGTACTGATTGTACAAGCTCGTTTTCAAGTTTTGAGTTATATACCTGCCAAAAAAATGTGTCGTAATTTCTCGAACGCTACCCAGCTTAGTTGAATCCGTCCATTGACTTCTCGGTCGAAGTTTGATTTACCTAGTCAGTCTATTTGTCACGAGTAAACATACTCGTCAACGACTTTGGGCTTAAAAAGATAAAATTAAAGTTCAATCTGTAATTAAGCACCCGAAGATTTTATCAATTCTGCAATGTAAAGTTGTTGAAATGATCTTAATATATTTTGTTATTATAAAGTTCACCTAAACGATAAAGCTTCTAAGATAAGTTTTCTGCAGAGAATATTCTTGAACTACCCTAAATTTCACAGTAAATATAAGCAGAGACAATAATATCGTCTTTGCTTGGTATTTGATCTGAACATTTATAAAATAAAATCTGATTGGAGTGGCATTTAAAAATAAACAGTAAGCGTACATCACTGGTTAAATTACAAATAGAAAATAGCAATTGATTTATTTATTTATTCAGCCAGTGCAAGAACTATTTAATCAGCCAGTATAAGGTTACTTAGTTTTGCTATTAACAAATTACTAATTAATATTCATGTACAAAAGATAACTATTATACATGGATTTAAACGTGATAGAGCCACGCGACAAATGTACATTTCTATGGGCCACAGCATCCACTTAACATCAGGTGGATTGTGTGCTTGTTTGTCACCCTTATTCTATAAAACACATAATAAAACAAAACATATGAAAATAATAATAATAAAACTAAGAGATACGTGCAGTGTTTGATTTATTCTGACTAATTCTTATTGGTTGGGCGGTGGGCCTTAGGGATGCCGAGTCCGATTCCCCGATAGAGCCTTGATCCCATTACGTGAGATGTTTTACCAGATGGACTGTATACGCGGTAAGCTTCTTCTGCCTCAATAAGATGGCAGAGGTGTCACGCGGTTCCTTGACAATGCACTCGCTCTTCCGAAATCTATTGTTTGCCAAAGTTATGAAGGAATCCTGCTTGAGCACATTAGGGCATGAGCACAAAGGACACAAACGGATTGTGTTACTCGACAAGACCTAAGGTCCGCCATTTCCGGAAATGACGGCTTAGGACGTACTCGAAAGCAAGCCATACATCTGTGCACCCGATTGCGGATCAAATCACGTGCTGAAAGAATCCAATAATTCTGACACAAGATTGACATCCGCAAGTCGGGGCAAGCGTGAGAATTCAATTTATTCTGGTAATCAACTAAATTAATACTACTAAAACTAACTAAATTACTAAAAATAATTAATAAATTTCGTGATATGATCTTTACGCGGTAAAACTATAGGGTGCCGTTGGTCGAAACTCAACTGCGAGTTAGACAAGCGTCCACCTACCCTGACGATTCCATCTTGTAAAAATGGCTTAAGACGTTGAAAAGCGCGACTACAAGTTCTATTCGATTGTAATCTTGTAATTTCATCGGAAAAATGTGCACGTTGAAGTTCACGCATACAACTCGGCATAGCTGTAATCGGCCGCTACGATATACGAACGTCGCGATAAAAGCTTCGCGAATCGACAAACGTAAATCACGCTATGCAATAATTTCGACCAAGAGGACAAACGGTTCGCCAAAGCAATGATTGAAGAAACCTCGCTCGAAACGTTCGCCACCAGAGCGTGCCTCTTCTCTTAATATGGTTGAGACACTCACGAAGGGTCGAAATCGGTTATTTGCCATTGCGAGGTTCCAAGTGAACCCAAGAAGGTCCGTGGAACCAAAGCGGATAGTCCATTATTTGCATCGAGGTGAGTCCACGGGATGGACAATCGGCAGGGTTTTCCGTACCGGACACGTGATAAAAGTTCCGTGTTCCTAACTCGTCTTGGATCTTGGCCACTTGGTTCGCGACAAACGTATCCCAACGGTGGGGTGAAGAATGAACCCAACATAAAGCGACGGTTGAGTCATAAAAGGCAAATATTCTTTCTATGTGAACTATGTCACTACATGCACTGGTAACTGCGGTGATAAGCTTGGCAAGGACTAATATCGCGCAAAGCTACAAGCGCGCGAGAGAGACGACCTTACGGGGGGAGACTCTTGACTTAGAGCTAATGAGGCTGATCGAATTTCTATCATTATTCTGGACGTGAAAATATACAACGCCCCCGTAAGCCTTCTCGCTAGCGTCTGCAAAACCAACGACCGTGATGACGCTATTTCTATCTACGTTTATATGACGTGATATTTTAATTTCGCTTAGTAAAGGAAGTTCCTCTCTAAAACGCAGCCACGACCGAACAATGCTATCAGGCGGCGGGTCATCCCAGTCGCATTCACATAACCAAACTTGTTTAATCAAAAGCTTAGCGTATAACACCACCGGGGCTACGAAACCCATGACATCCCATAATCTAGCAACGCATGACAGCATTGTGCGCTTTGTGCACGTTTCTGCGGGCGGGTTTACCTTAAGGCTAAACACGTCGGACTCCGGTGACCAACACAAACCGATCACCTTATCAGAATCGTCGAATTCTTTTATCGCCGAAAGTACATGAATATATAATGTTCTTGATTGTTATCACCTCGCAAAAAATTCTGCACCTGTGGTGGTACATCCATGGTATTTACGGTAATGGTCACCATACCTCTGTTAACTACATGGAAATAAAAGTGCTGCAAGTGTACAAACAAAACAAAGTGTACATAGGCATGAATGCACATCGGAGCCATGGAGAAATATAGAGACCCTTAACTTCGTGTGGCCAACAAATTTAATATTACTTTATTTAGTCTCTCTTTAGTCTCCCTTTTATTTATTTATTTTAACGTTACGTTATTCTCCCTTATCATGGGGGCAGTTAACAACATAAGTTTCACAAAGACAAACATCCAGACCTAGAACAATTATTTGTAGACCATACAAATAATGGTTTAGTGCGGGATTCGAATCCGCGTTCCTTAGCGCTGCAATTCATTGCTATGCTACTGCGTCACGAAGCCATCGATACTAAGATTCGGGAAATGGCATAAACAGTTTGAAATTTTCTATCATATTTATTTTTATGCTTATAATAATAATGTTTATATTCCAGCACACAAACGTACCGGTTCCGCCGACTCAATGCGTAGTGCCGGCGGTTTAGTAAACGATACGACACGCGCACGTATGAGTTTCTCCTACGAAGCGGATCACAGCGACGGTGAAGGTTAATATATAAATTATAATATTTATGTCCGTGTGTACCGTATCGTGATACTGAAGAGGATTATTACCCATATTTTGTCCCAGGGTTAACTGTGTACTTTCAAATAAAAATATATCATAACGGCACTAATATAAGTGCATCAAAGACTTGAAAAAAGTGAAGCGTTTTTTTAAAGCGAAGCGTCTACTAGGTGGACCGGGTTGGGTCGCATCGCAAGGCAAAAATTCGCCTGCTATACATTTTGTATAAATGACGCAGTTTGCGTACACTGGAGCCGGGGCTGGGCGGATGGCGATGAAATCTGTCGGAGCTTATTTATTCCATCACTGTGACCGACCCGCGATGACGACGCGATGGCGTATTTTATGCAATAATAGGGTAATCAATGAGAAATTAGTTGCTAATGTACATCTTCATGTAAAATGGTACATAATTCGTCAAAAGTTGCGTAAGGCATGCGAAAGTACTCAAGAATTTTATCGGACCATTTTACAGATCAAAGAAGTGGTAAACGTCATCAAAAATATTATTTTTTTTAAATATATTATGAAATCAACTTCCTCAAACATAGTATTAAAAATTAATAAAATAATAATCGTCAGAAAGAAAAGCGACAGTAGCTTAATGGCAGGGCGCGGACCGCGAACTCATAAAGGTCGTGGGTTCGAATCCGCTATTCGACTACTGGCGTGAACCACTCTTAACACAAGCAATTAAAGCTTACCACGAGTGGTTAAGGGGAATATTAGTAATGTTAATGTTTATAGCATTGTTAATATTCTTTCTAAAAAAAAATTACTATTGATTACCCTATCGGTACATTTACTTGACGTAGTTACGACAATCGATAAACATCCGCTTGCGGCTTAGCCCGTGTTAAACTTAATGGACGCAGTACGCAAAAGTACTTACCGCTCCGTAGAGTATTGCTGCGTCTCTAATAGATGCCTAGCTTAAGAGGTGTATGTCATACAAACTGATTTAGGCTAATCGGTATGATATTCAGTTGTTCTAATAAATGTTGCTCATAGTTGTCCTGATAGTTTTTAAGTACAATAACAACAACTTCAGAATAGCGTCGATGTTGATTTAAAAACAAAGAATTACAATAACAAAATGATCACGTTAACACTTTTTAAAAAATATATTTAATATTAAGATCACAAGTAGACCAAGATTCAATCTATAATACTAGACCTAACATTCCTGTGTCCAAAATTAACTAATTGCCCATTTCCACAAAGTTGGTTTTGGCTGAAATTTTAACAGTGATGTAAATATAGCATACATTTCCTTAGCAATTGTTTATCTAGACAAAAGTCAGAGTTGTTCAAACGTTTAACAACAAACACAAATTTCAAAAAAAGGTAGTATCCTTTTTGCATGACACTTCCAAACAAATTGTTTATAACCTTTCAGACACCTATTTACCACTGCGTTACAACATGGTTTGGTTGCCGCGTTAACAAATACGCGAGTGTTTACGCAATATTGTTTAACGTTTTTAAATTTATAATATTACCCTCACTAACAGAAGTGGTATACGCAATATTGTTTAACGTTTTTAAATTTATAATATTACCCTCACTAACAGAAGTGGTATGCGTCCGAATCGCGCATTGCAGACCGCACCAGCAACCTATCACAGAGATGCATTCGGAAGGTGGCCGCATACTTACTGGCGGACAAGATCACGTCGTTAAGGTGAGATGATATTCTACTATTATTACAAATTAAATATTCATCTTAAGTAACAGATTTTATACATGGTTTTAAATATTCTTGAATATTTGAGTTCAATGGTGGTCAACATGAGGCTAATATTTTTGCTTGGAAAGTAAGTTCGTTTTTGTGTCTATCTGTAACTTTTAAATAGTCGTACGATTTTGATTCATTGTTTGAGAGAGGACTATGTCCACTGTTGGCTGCCGCAGGTTGATGATGGTAATGATTGAGCTGGGCTGGTCCCCGCAACTACATGTTTAGGCGCATATTTTTCGTTTTAGCTGGAATTATTACACGTGGTAGAGCTATGCTACAGTTATATTAGTAATATAGTTGTAGCACGAATGGGTCGGCTCGACCGGGAAAGACCACGCTCTCACAGAATACCAGCGTCAAATAGTAGTTTAATGCTGCTGTGTTTCGTATGGTGAGTGTAGAGAACCGGAGAGCCTTTTTACTGGAAACAAGGCATTCCACCTAAGTCCTCACGGATGAAAACGCATCTGCATTTTGATTCGTAATCGAGGATAGATGTGGATGTCTATGGGCCGCAGCAACCACTTACCATCAGGTGGACTGTGTGCTCGTTTGTTATCCTATCCTATAAAAAATTAAATATTATTCGAGCCACCCGAACTCCCCAAATTTTCACTAAAGCTCGCCACACACTACATACGGTAATCCGTTTCAGAATTCCGAAACGGAACGAACGGGTCATACACACATACGGAATCCCGTTTTGCCCGAAAATTTTCGAACGGAAAACTACCGTAGGTGTGTGGGGGGTCATTGATTTTATATGGACTTGCTGCGTACGGAATCCCGAATCGGAATTTCGAATGTTTGTGGCCGGCCTAAATACTTTACCAATGACCTCGGTGAGCGAACTCGGTAAACCGAGTTGCTTAGTTTAATAGCTGCCAACTGTTAGACAATCAAGTAGAACGTAACCATTTCCTCTTACAGTTAGAGCCATGACGTTGTTTTCTCACCACATTATCCTGATATATTACTCATAGGTGTTCTCAAGTTCTGAGTTAACTGCACTGTTCACACTTCATGGACACTGCGGGCCCATCACAAGCTGCTTCATAGACCATGCCACGCCTACGATAGCTGGAAGCGGGTCACAAGATGGCCTCCTCTGTGTGTGGGACCTACATACCGGTAGGTGTAAATTTTGCTCATTATATAGAATGGGATTTACTATCCCTTTAACTCCACAACAGAACAAAGAACTCTTTCCTTGAACGTTTTGTAAAGGTACAAAAAATTTCGTCCGTTGATAAGTTTTAATTAAATTTAAGTCCACTAGATCAACGAAGCAGTCAAGCGTGTATTATATAAAGTGAACATTAATTTATTATTGTTTACTGAATATGGACTATTTAAACTTTATTGTTAAATGTAAGATTAATATGTGTTATGTAATAGACTAAAATTATGTGTTTCCCATGAAGATAAAATAAATAAATAAATTATTAGTAATTACGATATTGAATACTTCACTTTCGGAAGCAGACTTGAACAATAAATCACTTTTTGCCGATTTGGATATTAATAACGAACAAAGGAGCTATTCCCGACAGATTTGAATTACAAATCAATTGAATACGATTCGAACTCAAGGTAATAATTCGCGCTCTTGCAAAAGAAGCCTACAATCGGATGTCGGATGTATGATCGGATCTTAAATTGACAAAACAATTTGTTTTACTTAAAATAAATATGCATTACAGGCGCATGCTTGTACAGTATGCAAGCTCATGACGGTGCGGTGACGTCACTCACGTATACGGCTTCGTACGTTGTGTCTGCGGGAGCGGACGAGCGACTTTGCATTTGGGATCGCTTTCAGGGACACATGCTCAACTCCATTCACATTGTAAGTTATCTTTACTGTAAAGTAAAAAGTAAAGTTGCATTATAAATGACTCCCACTACTGAGCACAAGGCTCCTTTTATTTTCATAATTTGGTTCATATTTAATACCAACTTATACAAAGTAACTGAACTTTGTCAGCTAGTTATTATAAAGTCAAAGTCAATATTAACTCCAGTCGCGATTTTATATCAAAATATAAAATCGAGGCGCAGTAACCAGGTTAATTTTTATTAAATAAACTTAAAAGTGTAATTTTATTTTTTTAATGTTGTTGCTAGGGTCTAAATTATATGAGTCGCATGCTGCCTCTAACGCATACGCTACTAGTGATGGGCGACCGGAGTGGACTCATTGCCTACGACCTCAGCAGTGGAGATGTTATACGACGGGTGTTACTGGGTATGATTTAATATTGCTATCATATTATATAAGTTTTATCCTTTAGATTCCTAGCTATAACTTTTTGGGTAACGTTATATTTATATAATGTGCATTATCGGCTTCGTCAGTAAACGTTCACTGCTGGACATAGGCCCAACCCTTGTAGGGAGGATTTACTTTAATCGGCAGGCTTAACAGGCGGATTGATAAACGCAGTACCCCACCGACGTTTCTGGGTATTTTTCGCCCAACGATAACGAAACGGTTAAAGCGCCATCTATCGGAAGACTTTCTTTTTTTGGCATATACCACCATAGTTGCCTCTTACAAAACCCACGATATAAAATTACGTGATAGAGTCTCTAACGCCGCCACCACACAGCACTATTACTTCTAACTAAAAAAGAGAAGTCGTAATTATACCCCCCATCTACCGCAAACGCAAAAATATTTCCAGCGTTTTCTACAGTCACCTTACACGTCACTTACTTACTTACTTACTTATCTTTACGCACAATAGTAGCCAGAGAGAACAGATCGCCAAGTGTCACGATCCTTACATACCTCTTTCGCTTCATTAACTTCTTCATACATGCACGTCTAGGTATCCGAGTACTCTTGACCTTCCCCTCTTCGAGCAATTTGCTCACATGGTCTTCGAAAGTTAGTCTCGGTCTACCTCGACACCTTTTAATATTTACTTTCGCGCTATATATTTTCTTCACAATTCGGTCTTCACTCATTCGTTCAACGTAACCAAACCATTGGAGTACGCCCCTATCAATTTTTGTGATAAGGTCATCTTTCAATCCTGCCATATTGCGAATCTCTTCGTTTTGCTTTCGATCGGCTATGATAACGCCACAACACATTTTACGAAGAGATCGCATCTCCACTGCATTCAACTTGCTTTTATGCTTCTTCTGGCATACCCAGGTTTCGCTGCCATATAACAAAGTCGGTACCAACACTGCGTTATGTATTGCAAGGCGTGCACTCTTCACCACGCCTTGCTTTTTGACTAATGCATTCAGGGCACCATTGACTTTGTTTCCGACAGCGACACGCCTATCCACATCTAAATCACATCTTCCATCCCGGCTGAAAGCACTCCCCAAGTATACAATTTCATTTACCTGTTCTAGACATTCCTGATTTACCCATATTTCACATTTCGTTCTCACTTCGTCCTTTTCAAATACCAGAACCTTAGTTTTATTAGCATTCAAACGGAGACCTTTAATTTCACATTCCTCTTTCATACACGTGACTAATGCCTGCAGTTCTGCTTCTGATGGTGCAATAAGCACTGCATCATCAGCATACAGCAGACAATTTACTTTAATGTCACCCAATTTCACACCCAAACAGCTATTTTTCAGCTTCTGTAAACAGCTGTCGAGATACAGTATGAACAGCCAGCAAGGCATGACACAACCCTGTTTTACGCCCGCTTGGACGCTAAACATGGGTGACAGGTCATGCCCTACCCGCACACAGGCTTTACAGTCATAGTAAAGTGACTGCACAGCCCTTAGCAATCGACCATCCACACCATATCCCGGCAACAGTTCCCACATTTTCTTCCTTATAACCTTATCAAATGCTTTCTCCAGATCCACGAAAGCACAGAAAATCCTCTGGTTAACACTCAGAAGCTTTTCCGTGATCATGCGGAGAGAAAACATTTGATCCGTGCATCCTCTTCCAGGTCTAAATCCGCATTGTGCCTCCCATAAGAATCTTTCCGATTTCTCTTGCATCCTACGTGTCAAAACCGTCGAGTATACTTTACTTGCTAAACTGGTCAAGCTGATTGCCCGATAGCACCCGCAGTCAAAATGTGAACCTTTACCTTTATATAAAGGCACAATGACCGCGGATCGCCAATCATCCGGGATATCTCCCGTCCGCCAGCACAAATTGCACAGCAGATGGAAGCTGTCCCAGATGCGAGGCCCACCGTACTTGACCATTTCAGCAGTAACTCTGTCTAGTCCCGCAGCCTTACCACATTTCAAACTTCGAATCGCACGTTCAATCTCTTTCATGCTGATGACCTCAGTGTCATCGAGGTCCGTGTCTGGCGTGCCAGTCACGGCGTCACCCCCGGATCCTTCACTAAGATCATGACACGCATACATTTCTCTATAAAATTCACTCCATCGCTGCATGACGTCCGATTTTTCTGAGAGGACGTCATTGGTTCTCGAAAGCACTTTGTTCATTCTTAAGGCTGTCGCACCACTCCGGGACCTTCCTACCTCTTTCCAGAAGAGTTTGGAGTTTTCCTTAAAGTTGTGCGACAAACTTTCGTCCGCTTCTATTCTACACCTTTCACGTACTTCCTCAATCAATGTTTTCGCATGAACTTTCTGCAGCTTATATCTTTCTTTCATCTTCTCTCTCATATGCTTATCGTTACTAGAGGCCAAGTAGTCTAACCTTCTTTTTTACAGCTTCTCTCACTTCATCATTCCACCATGTATCTCTTCTTTTACTACTACCTCTTTTTGTCGTTCCACATACTTCTTTCGCTGCACTTACCATTCCATCCCTAAGGTTCTGCCATGTTCTCTCCACACATTCTTTCCTGCCATCGATGGTGTCAAGCTTTTCGGCTACCCTCGTGTGATATTTGTCCCTAGTATCCGCTTCCTGAAGCTTCCAGCTTCGGATGCGACAGACCGACTGTGGTTCTGTTACTGCCGTCCGGTAGCGCCAACCCGCGAACAAACCCCTAAATCTAGTAATTACTAGATAGTGATTCGTTCCCAGGTCAGCACCCCTGAACACTCGTGTATCCATCACCTGTTTTCGCAGTCGGTCATCCACCCGGAACAAATCAATCATACTTCTCTCATTCTTTCTTTCTCTAGTGTACATATGGATTTTCCTGTGATTATACAAAGTGTTTGTCACAAGAAGACCCTTTTCCTTGCATACAGCCAGTATAAGCTTGCCAGCATCATTAACTCTTTTATCGCCAAACTTTCCAAGCACCGACTCGTATCCTGGTCGAGCGATACCTACCCATCCATTCAAATCACCACATATAACAGTTCTTTCGTTTCCCTTAACGAAATCTAGAACTTCTCTTACATTCTCCCAAAACTCCAGCTCAGCCCTGGACGACGAAGCTACCGGTGCATAAACAGCCAAAAGGAATAACTTCGTCAGTCCCAATTTAAAACGAACCCAGAGAAGTCTTGAGTTCACAACCTTGTATTCAGTCATAAGATCGACCAACCGGGACGACAACAGCACCGGTCACTCCGGACCATAAAGCTAACGTCCCGCCAGGGAGATCTTTAGTACCACTGCCGTTCCGTTTGGTCTCCGACATACACACGACATCTAATTCTCTTTCTTTCATTATTTCGATCAACTCATTCGTCTTATCTCTCATGCCCCCTCTAACATTCCACGTGCCAACTGTGCACTCCGTCCTCCACCTTCCGCCGTGTCGGACTGTGCGTGACGTGTGGCGGTCCCCATCGCCGCTTTGCGCGCTGCATTCCACACCAACGGGGACGAGCTGGTGTGTGTCGCCTTAGGGGGACGCCCTAACTCGTTTGCTTGGGTGCGCAGCTGTGTAGAATTGCAGCCCTGAAAAGGGCTGGCAGGGGTCGCGACGAGCACGCTTCTACAATGACCCCCACCTCACACGTCACCTACGAGATAATAATAATTTAACCCAAACGCTATCCGAATCTGCAGTGGCTGTGCCTTGCTAGTACTATTATTTATTAAGCGACGAAAGAATGAACTGTCCGTGCGATGGAATACAGTTTGTAATGACGATGTCGTATCGTAAATTAAGAAGAGTCGCCATGTTACATTATTTATCTCTCTTAGTTTTAATATATACTCTTTTTTTGGGATAAAGGTCTCGGCCCACTATAACGCCTCATACATACTATGGACGTAATCCGACATATGAAAAAATGATTTGTATAAATTATTATATTATCCCACTACCACAATCGTTCTGTTACGGACCTAAATCGTAACATGCTTGGAACCTTGGACCAAACAGCTATGTGCAGGGGGCCAAATCCGCTGTAACCGATCACAGTTGTGTAAATAGTAGCAATCATTGCTAACTAGCTTATAGATATTTATCTAATAACTTCCGTACATATAGGTTTTTCAAGTATTTTTACAAGAATTCCATCCTTCTTAATAATTTGAGCTATGATGAATAATATAATCTATAGAACGGGCATCAAAGTAAGTCACTTAACATTTCTGAAGGGGTCGAAATTCTGTTAGGCGGAGTTGATAAATATTATGAAAATCTCTTGCTATAGCGACAGTCGCTTAATCTGTCACATACCAAACCAATACATGAGATAATCAAATGTCACCTTTGTAGACCCCTCAGAACAACTTTGTTTTAAATGATATTTATTAGAACTATACAACTAAAATTCTAGAAGTTTTATTATAATTAGTCTCGTTACTAAATTATGAGAATTAAGATTAAACGAGAAATAAAATAGAATTTACTTCTATTATTATAATGTTACTTTACCTACGTCGTCTTCGCACTCCAGAGACCGTGTAGATGGCGCTGTTACAGAATTATTTTAATATTATACGCTTTCACAATAAAGCCCCAGAAAATATGCAGGCCTTATCTGTCAAAGTTTAAAATTTTTACTAAGCAAAATTGATTAGTAAGGATTATTAGGTTAGCGCTACAAAAGAGTATACATAATTAATAATAACCCCTGAGAATGAGGTGATCGCTACCATTTCTAAAATAATATATATTAAATTATTTATTTTTTAAAAGCCCCGCTGTTTCTTGACAGTTCTTCTCAGGACAGTGTTTTTTTTTTCATACCAGTCGTAAATCTTAAATGACTTTAATCTGTATTGAAATAAAAAATTTCTGTTCTATTCTATTTTTTTATGTTTAATATCATTTTGGATTCCCTACCAATGATAAGAAGAACCTAGCTCGTCGTTAGTAATAAATTATCACCATCACGTCTTATATTTTATTAATGTTCATATTATGTTATGTAAACCATTTTTCGGTTCCTTAACAAAGATTCGATTACATAGGTCCAATTATATAATATAATTTTTGTATAATATAATATTTGTAAATTAATTTAAATCAATACGTTTTTATTACACCCAAGCAATGTGTTATTTGTATTAGTTACGTAACAATAAATTAGTATTTCCTCTAAGTTATTTTATATTTTGATAGATTGTTTTATAAAAAAAATGGGGAAATTTTGTTTCACACAACAACAACCCTTTATAACACGCAAACATATTTGCACCGCCGCCATTGCAGCGCATTAGTCCTTTCTTAACAAAATTCAATCCGCCTTTTTATACTTCCAATGCTTCACATATAAACTATGAACGATAAAACAAGTGTTCCGATGGTGATGTGAACCTCAAGATAATGTCTGCTTACGCGCCTTGAGATGCTATTGCCATGTTATTACTAGCAGTTGCTGGCTCTAGCTTGACGGTATATCTCTAAAAAAACTAAGCAATGTGACGCGTATATTGTACGTGTATATTGTAATGAAGTGTACTATAAAATAATATTACTTATTATTGAAGAATAGATAGAACAGACTGTAACGAACAGATCGTAGTAGTGACTACCGTGTTTGTCGAAACTGATACGTACGTAGCGAGTTTAAAGTATTTACCGTTGTATTGTGTCGAGATCTTTATAGACACATATTTGTTTGTAACATTTACATAGTGCAGTTGAATACTTAATTTTGCTGTTTTTGCAGGCCAAAGCGATGGTTGCATATTCGTGCGTCAAATACTACCGCTAAAAGATGCGATAGTGTGCGACTACGCAAACCAGCTCCGCATTGTTCGGTTCCCGCTCGTGTCGAAGCTGTCGGACATGAAGAATGAATAACAATTACTATTTTAAGGAAAACGTTTATTTACTACCGGATGCCACATATTCCTAAGACCGAAAATGGAGACTATGGTTGTCTTATTGACAATCCCAATTATAAACACACCAGTTTTGTACTTATTTTCAAAGTACTGAAAGTAAACTCTTTGCTCTGTATTGTCAATATTATAACTTTTATGCAAAGGTGTCCATCTGCATACTTCTCTTCATACCACTGTAAAGTTAGTTAAGTGGGAGTTTTGTGGATTAAAAAGTAATCTTTACTTTTTAATCCAAATTCTTCTGGATAAGCCATTACGAGGACAAAATAGCAGAAAACGAACACAACCAGCAACCCAAAAAAATTAACAATGGGTTCATTCTAATTTCAAAACTGGTCTTTTCTAAATAAAGGGCATATTTAAATAATAATATTTGTAAGTGTCTGTATTTTACAAAGGATTTTTAGCTGATTATTAAACTTCATACATTTCTTTCTTTTATTTTGAAGTTTTAAGAAAATGATAAAAGATCTTTTGACTTTTTAAAATAAATGGGTAATAAGGATGTTAATTCGAATCCATATTTTTAATTTTAAAATACAATGTAACTCGAGAGATTTTACCCTTATCATAGACCCTTTCGATTGGTTCAATAAAATAGCGACTGTCTATTTTTAACCGACTTCAAAAAGTAGAAGGTACTCAATTCAACTATGTTTTTTAATTATTACCTCAGAACTTTTTTTTAGGTGAACTGATTTTGATAATCCTTTTTTATTTTAAAGCTGGTGTCTCTCGTGTGGCTCCATATAAATTTAATTATGATCTGACCAGTTGTTTTTGATGTATCCTTAATAATGCGTATTTAATTGAATTCAACTGTATTCTCATTTTATTTATATTGAAGTCGGATTTACAAAATATTTAATATTACCACTCGCTTGCATTTTTAGTTGGTTCGATTCCCTGCTCAGGTCAACTATTAAAAAAAAAATGTTTGAATGTGGTTGTTTTTATTTTGAAAAATAACAGAATGTTTCCTTTGAGTGAAATTTAATGTCTCCAATATTGGATCTACTTTCCCTAAAGTTAACGAACAGTATATGTAACGAGGCGAGGCCAGTGCCCAGTAATGGAAAGCAAATAGAGTGTAACTTTGTGTTAAAAGTAAATAACAAGCAAAAAAATTGACATACTTTCCACTTTGTGTTTTTACTTTTACCAATTTTTAATACTAAACTCATGTAAATATTTTAGTGTTCACAGTTATTAAGTGCGGTTATTGTATCAATCATATACATTGTGTGTATATTTAACAAAGGGCAAATTCGATAAGAGTAACTCATCATTACCAGTAGTATTTTTAATATGATGTTATGGTGACGGTGAGAAAAATTGAAGCGTAAATATGGCTTCAAAGAAAAATCATTTAAAATTTTGATGATTAGAAATGATGAGATTTTAAACATAGCATAAATCAGAAATTCCTTTTCTAAAGAATGATTACACAAGTGTGAAGTGGTGCACCTGTGTGAATGGGCCCTTACTGCTGTGTTATTTTTATGTTTAATTTTATATTTATTTCGATTGAAGAATAGGTTATGTATGTGGGACTGAGCGGAGACTCAATAAAATATTTTAAAGATGTTAAAAGTGAATGTTCGTTGGCCAGGTTCGGCAACCTTGAATTACAGGATACAGTATAAATTAGAAACATTTATACTGTATCCTTTTTAATATAACTCTGTCCTTTGTAACTAAAGGGTCACCTTTTGGCTGCACAAGCCAAAATCTTCCCAATAAATATATAATGACGGGCCACGTGTAACTTAAAAATACATGTTATGTATCAACAAACTTCTTGCTTCTATTAAATGCACTCTATCAAAACTATAAAGTTACATATGTACCGCTACAGATATATTGAGTTCGTTATAGCTAAATTATAAAGACAAACGGGTACACATTCCGCCTGATGGTAAGTGGATGCTTTAGCCCAAAGACATCTACATTTATCTTGTTTTCAATAAAAAGAGTCTCCGGTTGTCTACTCTCACTAAACGAAACAGCAGCCTTAAGCTGCTATTTTATATTAGTATTCTGTGAGGTCATGGTCCTACCCCGGTTGGGTCGAACCATTCGTGTTACAACTATACTACTAATATAGCACTACATACTAATGCTGCGTGGCTCTACCACGTATATAAAGTAAAGTTACAGAGTATATACGTCCCACTGCTGGGCACAGGCCTCCTCTCATTTCTAAGAGGGTTTTTAGGGCAAGGAATAGTTCGCCGCGCTGCCCCAATGCGTGTTGGCGAACTTTACATGTCTTCGAAATATTTTTTTCTTATTCCTCAGACATGCCGGTTTCCTCACGATGTTTTCCTTCACCGCCGAGCACGTGGTAAATCAGAACTTAAAATTGCAATTAACAATTTCATTGGTGCCGGCGGGGATCGAACCCGGTTTGCTCGCGTATTGTGAAAAACACCTAAAACCGAACATCTATTATAAGTCCTTGGCAAATATATAAATGAATAATCCATGCACTTCTCATTCGTTAATTCTACATTATTTAATCATTTGATATTACGAATTTACAATATATGTTTTCGGTTTATATATCGTTAAAAATGGACATTCCATAGGACCAAGAAGATTTTTTATAAATGTATTTTAAAGTTATATGGGGATGTCAAATGCCATTTTAGCGTGGTCGAGCTAGGCAAACGAACATGAAGATAATGCTTCTACCATTATCTAACCTCTGTAATGTTTTAACTATATAGAATGTATAGGTGCTTATCACATTTGTGTAATGTGTTAAGAAATATTAAAAGAAAATATTTACACGTCACTTAGACGAATTAATTTGGGTGTATATTGTGTAAAAATGAAATCTGTGATCATTTTCATAACATTTTTATATTTCGCTTGTCTAAAATTTTCAGGACCCTATTTATTATAAATATATAAATATTTGTGTGATGTATTTCATATTAATATATGTATATACAGGTGAAGTTACGTTAAATAACTGCGAAAGAAATAGGTAATATGGGTCTTAAATCAAAATTAAATAACTAAGTTTTCAAACAAAATAAATATTTTATTATCTTTGAACACGCTCTAAGGTCTTTCATCTTTAAGAGCGGTAACGTTGCACTTGTTCTCTAGTTTTCTGATTCGCGGTTGTGCGTGTGCGCTCCTGCCACTGACCTCTATATATATAACTTTTATATATAGAGGTCAGTGGCCCCTGCTCAGTATTCATACAGAAATTGGGATATAACATCAAACAGTTTATTGACCCATGACTTTGTAAACACATTTCCTGTGCCTGGCTAAACTATGTACTGAAATTATTGATTTTCATATGTAAAAATAAAACGCTACATAGAGTTGCTAGTATCATTTTATTGTGTTTAACGTAGCGCCAACCTGTATATGATTTAATGAGTCAGTTAATAATACGGTAAGTTTTTAGTTTAACGATTACATTTAACGATTGAGTTGACTGCAAGCCCTTTTGATATGATCTTCCAAAAATAGTCAAAGAGTTTAAACTTCCAATTTCACGCTAAGAATCAGTAAAGGTCAAGAAGACGTGAACAATTAGGCCGTTTTCCGACTTGTTGGTGCGGGAGCGGTGCGGATTCGTTTCGATCGGTATACGCGGTACCGAAAGCTTGCCGAGCGCGTATATTTTAATGTGCGTCTTCTAAATGGCGCGGAATGTGCGGGAGCGGGGAAGGATCGTTTCGTTTTACCGCGTTTCGGGATGCGTGTCCAGCGGCCGCCCGACATTTACCGCGCACGGTCGTGCAAACAAGATGGCGGAGCAATATATTCACGTCGTTTTAGTACTAGAAATTGAACATTCTCTAAACGTTGTATTTTGCTTTGTTAATACTGTCTCAACAAATTCAAAAGCTCTTCGTAAGTTTTTTTTAATATTCTATACATCAATAAAAAATTTTCGTCATCTTGGGAAAGTTCTTGGGCCGCTACAAAAAGTCGACAATTAATATTATTTTCGATATATGGATGATGCCAGTAACGTTTTATTTTTTTACGTAGGCGACAAACATATTAGCACGCCAAAATATCATCACTCGAAGACGACACCTTCGGTACTGCTAGATTTTATACCGGTAAGTGACTAGCTGAAGGCAACGCGGTACCGTTTCGGTACAGACCTTAAAGATCTCGCAATGCTCCCACACCGACAAGTCGGAAAACGGCCTTACTGTTATTTTACGAATACAATTGTTATAAAGTAAAAACTCGAATAACAGGAAACATGGACTCCCCTACTAATAGTGCAGTGAAAATAAATTTTTACATATTTATGCACTTCCTAAATGCGAAAGTCATCCTTGTAAACAATATTCTCTAAAATAACAATTTTTTTTAGTCATACGAATTAGCATTGTTTAAAACTTTAATTAAGCGCAACGTTAAACGATTTGTCGTCGTAGGATTTAGTCCACTTCTAAAAGAAGTAGGTTTCAAATAGGCTTTGTGTGTTTGTGTGATATGTTTGTCAATTGTAAACCGATCTTAGTGATTGTTATTTGTTAATTAAGTAAATGGGTTAGGTCAGGTAGGTTCAAGGGTGATCCCGTATAAATTATATAAAGGTGGAAAAACACGGATGAAGTTCTTAAAGTAACAGTTTAGATGATATTCTAATTGTTACCTTGAAATTTTAATTGTCCTTAGTCCACTCAAAAGCGTCAAAATTAGACATATAAAAAAGTAAAAATTGACATCAAGGAATTAATAGTATATAATAATTTTACATAATAGCATCTGGAGTCGGGAATTTAATTATTCTAATTATTAGTATAGTGTACTAAACGTTGTAAAGTTTAGTACACTATACTACACAGTATTCTTTTACTTCTTCCAAAAATATAATTTTAAAGGCATATAGTGAATGCCGGCGTTTAGCATCAAGGTTAACTTACAAATTACTGTATTTATTAATACCTCAACTGTGTTATTATT